ATGTTTTCTTGTAAGTACAAATAAAACATTGTTAAATAGGGTAAAATAATTTCATACCGTACTCTGCAGAACGCTGGTGATATTATTCTACAGGCCTCATGGCCAACCTAAATCCAAAACTATGGAGACCAGGCCAGCTGTCCTTGCAGTTCTAATGCAAGCTTAAGATTTCACAGGTAAAAATGTGTGGGGAAAATGATCTTCAAAACAAGGTAATCTATGAGACTGTCATTAATAAAAAAACAACACATCTACATTTTTTCCAACATACAAATTTCTTTCCTATTCTCAACTCAATTTCCTGATGCCCAGATCTGCTTGAACAATTTTTATTTCCTAGGTAGGTCATGTGGATACTACAAGTCGATTTTCCTCAACATCACTGACATCCAATTAGCTGTGGCGGAGGACTGGATGGCGGCACACGATAGGAAACATAACTAAGTTACAGGCATTCTAGGAGGTCCTCCCAGCATATTTGGAAATATTGCAGAAATAGTCAAGTAGAAAGAATTGCTTTTACAGCTGTACAGTACTTTACCTAGTAAACAGAATACTTTCATTTAGTTCTAATTTTACATTTTCTTTTCATGGTATTTATAGAAAATATAAGTTTAAAATTTGTCAAAGCTGGCTTTTCTTTGGTAGCTTCATTTGAGAAGATAGTTTTGTCAATAATGTATTCAGCTAGTTCTTTTCATTTTTAGCTTTACATGTTTAAACTATCTTTACCAATGCTTAGCTCATGAAGAAAAAGAAAAAAAAAAGGTTTTTGACTTTAACAAAAGATCCTTTCCAGCTGATGGTTCGTATTTCTTAAAGGAAGTTTCAAATGAAATATCCAAGTCTTATTTCTATCACAAGTTAACTGTCTAATTTAGCTACTACAGCAATTCATAATTAGTAGTGACTCATGCTCATTCTTCTCTCCTACTGTTGTGATTTTTTCATCACATGTGAACACATTCCTCCTCTACATGAAATGCTTGCAGCATGACTTTCATGGTAAAGAACTGACATCTTCAACACAGGTTCTAGGCTATTTATCCTGAACCTCATTTACACAGGCCTTCTAAGAAACATACCCTAAAAAATTAATGTAATCCAACCAACTCCCGGAAGCCTAGTTTCAATAATAAAGATTCTGCCACATTCTGTAAAATATGATCATCTAATTTATTTTCATTTTTGATCTAGTACAGCTCCTATGCTCTTTGAGCAAGATTGAGTCCAAATGCCATGACTCTTCTTTTTGGGCTTGTTTGTCACATTAAGTTGGGTAGCAACTGTACAAATATTATCTCACAAGGTCATTGTGAAAGATTAAATGAATTTATCTAAACCAATGTCTAGTATTTGTTTCATAAACAAAGCTATTATTATTTAGAACAAATCATTTTTCCTACCTCATGGCCTTTGACAGTCTGAGTGCTATTCCTTACATCACCTCTAGAAAGTTATGTCTACCAATAGTTCAAATGTTACACCTCTGGAAAATTCTTAACCTTCTAGATTAGGCTGAATTCCCTTAATACACTCTGCTTTATCCAAAAGGCATACACTGGAGAAGGCCCATCTGTAACGAAGGTAAGAAAACATTTGGTTTTGTTTCACCTCCGGCACGTAGTGGCTCATAGTAGGGATGTTTCTTTTCATCGAAGTAAGTCTTATGCTATTACCATGTATAAACCAAATTATGGTAACAAACTGTTAACAGGCTTGAATACCTTTTCAGTTAAAGAAAAAATATAAAGGTAAATATATATGCTATTATTTTCACTGAGTACTTTTTTTCTTTTGGCACCTTTCTTGGTTTTAGATACTCCTTACTCTAGCACAACTCAACCAGAATGGCCTGCACTAAGAACCTGGAAGCTTTGAACCTTTCCAAGCTTTGGGACCACAAGTGCGATGGAGGATACTCTGCCATTACGTACTTGGACTGGCTTCTTTCCAAGGTTCACATTCCTTCACTGGGTCAGCCCTATTTGGGAAAATTTAATGTTTGGAACAGTAACTTTCGGACCTTTTTGCTTCCTGAAGGTAAAGGGACAAAATGTAGCAACAAAAAAAAAAAAAAAGAAAAGAAAAATTCTGAAAAATGTCCGCCCATTTGCTTTAGCAGGCAGCACCTGTGGCATTCTGATCTGCAGAGACAAGCCTCTGTACACTGGTAGCCATTTTAGAAAGCTATTCATTCATGAACATGTTAGGCTGCCTGCCTTCCAGTCTCCAGCCACTCCTTCCACCTCTAGACAGAGCGGCAGGTTACCGTATCTCTTCTAGGCATGTGGCACCATCCTGCTTCATCTATGCTAGGTCCTGTCCCATTCTGTGATTTCACTTGGGTCTTTACTTTTGGGGGAATTGTTTTTACATTCTACCATAGAGACCAGAAATAGTTTTAAGGAGATAAATACTGAATTCACTTTGGTGACTTAAAACAAGATACAAATATGATCACTTTCTGTTTTCAAATAAAACCCCCTACATTTAATTCACTAAGAGTTTAAGTCTAGGTTACATGCAAAGGAAAGCTAGCCTTTTAGGTCTGAGTGAACTTGAAATACTAGTTTTCAGTTGTCTGAAGTATGTTCAGCAACGGCAAAGGAAGGGACTAAGCATTACCTTTGTTCCCTCAAATACCAACACCTGGGACACATACAAAATTTATGGCAAGTAATCTAAAACTCTTCTAAAAATGATTAACTGTAATTCTACCCAGTGAGAAAATCAATACAACAGACCTATTTAATAATTTAAGACATCAGATACCTGTCATGCAGTTTCAGTGTCTAGTAACAAACTCTAGACCTTAAAGTTCTGTTTCACAACACGTAAGTACTCATCACACATTTTAAAAGGTTGCCATCCACTTTATACCACATTTAGAAGGACCAGAGTACACAATTATAAAGGGAATGCACAGATATTAAAGATTCTCATGTCTAGAGGCACAACCATACAACTTCCAAATGTTTCAATATATATACTGCAGTCATTAGCTTAATTTTCAAAACGAAAAGTTCACACAGGGTGGGACAAATACTATCAAATAGCTCAGTATTCTCCTCTAGGAAGTTGACGTGCATCAATCTATATCTCATGTAGAAATAAAAAATATTTGACGTGTTGGCCCAAGGGAAAAGTTGTGATTTTAGCTTATCAAAACTGAAGAGAATAAAATGTAACCAGAAAAGAAAAGAAAAACAAGAAATCATTTTAGAACAACTTTTGTTTGATTATGATGCCCAGGCAGGCTGTCCTTGAGTTCCCAGACTCAGGCAATGCTTGTGGCTCCCAGGCCTCTGGAATGATCAGCAATCCCCCATGCCTGGCTCTTAAAATTGTTCTTTCAGTGCCAACACATTCTGGCGAACACAGTTCATCATTTATAGATGTAAGTATGCCAGTTTTACTTACAGCTACTTCTATTTTGTTTTTAAGTGTTTTCACTTGTCTTAGCTTGATAGAGATCCAAAAGTATTTGGTTATATTTAGTTTAGTAAAATAAAACTTTTTTTTTTCATGTCTGGCAGTAGCTCTAAGGTATTAGTAAAAAACAAAATGAAATAATCAGAAATGCAGAATGTTACGACAGCTCAAAACACAGAAACATAAAATCCATACCACCAGTGGTGATCTGAGGTTTACATTTTAAGTACTGAATCTCCATAGGCCTTTTTTGTTAACCACATACTCAATGACCCAAATACCCATGGATTTTATTAAATTCAAGAAAATGACCTAATTAGTGGTCACCATGCCAGATGGTCATTAGAAACAGAATACTTGCTGCTGATGAAAATGGCCTGTTTATTCTATTTTTGTTACATGTACATTTAAATAAATTAAAATGTAAATTTCAAGTCTCAAAAGTTGATTAAAAAAAAAAGGTGTACCACTCTTTTTCAATAATGAGTATTGTACAGACATATTCAAGATAGCTATGTGAGTTGTAAATGTGTCATCAAAAGCTTCACATTTTAGTATTTTCTTTACTGGGATACAAACCCCTGGCCTTGTGTGTTTTAGGAGCTACCTACCACTCAATCCTACCTTTTAGCATTTTTAAAGGGAAATTCAAAGTGGAAGATTTCTGCTGCATTATGAGATTAAAGACAGTACTTTCATGTTTAAAAATAATTTGCACAAAAAAACTCAAAGCAAAAAGTCTTGATACTTTATCAAAATAACAAGAACAAATGATCAATGAAAAAATAGCAAAAGACATTACAAAAAATAGTAAATTCCTATTTAAAGCCTGTGTTTACACAGATTAAAAATGTTTGTCATACATATCACACAGATTGCAGCATACTGTGAGCTGTAATATAGAAAGGTAACATTGGATATTTGACAGTCAAGCTGTACTTATCAAATAGTTTTAACCTGAGTCTTCAATATCTTCATACATTTGCCACAATGAAAGTAGAATTTTTTGGAGTATAATTCAAGGGTAGACTTCTTTAAATTGCTCTTAATACTGTTTCTTAACTATTTGAATAAATTCAGTAATATTTACATTTTGGGGTTCTCAACACACGTATGAATCAAAAACTTTTTTCCTTCTCTTCAAGCATATGAAGATGCCTTTTTAGTTCAAAACGCCTTAGATTTAATTTAATTTTCACATTTTTAGAAAATATGTAGAAGATCTCTAAAGGATTATCATAGATCATTGACTATTCCCATGAAATAAATCATACACACTGAAGAACTGTATATACAAGTTAACTAAAGAATATCAAATTAGCACGGTGCCGGTGGCTCACGCCCGTATTCCTAGCTACTTAGGAGGCTGAGATCTGAGGCTCGAAATTCAAAGCCAGCCTGGGCAGGAAAGTCTGTGAGACTCTTATCTCCAATTAGCCACCAGAAATCCGAAAATGGAGCTGTGGCTTAAGTGGTAGAGCACTCGCCTTGAGCTGAAGAGCTGGGCCCAGGCCCAGAATTCAAAACCCACGACCGACCCAAAAAAAAGATAAAAAATCAAATTATTATTTTTCCTATAAATAGTTTCTTTTATTTTGTGTTTAGAAGTTGTAGTTTTAAGTACTATTAACAGAAAAAACATAAAAGCTTCCTAACAAGTGAAAAAAATAATTATAAATGCTGGAAAAATTGGCCTCATTAACATATTTACACACTTTTACTTAATACATACTCCTTTGAAAATTTCTTATATGACATTTATACAAGCATTAACATTTCCAAATCACTTCAGGTCTTTACTGTCTAGAGCCAGAGTTGGAAGTCACTGAGTAAGGCGGGGCAGGGGACAAATGACCGCAGGTCAGTGTGAGACATGGCCGACACACTGCCCCACTCCCTCGCCCGGTGCTGCTTCTGAGCAAGTGTCCTTGTGCTGCTGCTTCTCTTTGCTCTGAGCTTCCTGAAGCTTTAGAATTATGTTTCGAATTTCTTCTCTTTTTGTTCTCATTCTTGGTGGAGGAAACCAGTTCATTAAGTTCATAGGTAGTTCAAAATTAAGTATTGGATTCTGAAAATAAAGAGTAAATACCTATTAGAAAACTCACATATATGAACCCCTAACATTTTAGTTTCAATCACAAAACACTCCAAAGTTAAAAAATGAACTATGAACATTTTGCATGCCAAACACTGTGCTAGGCACTGGAGAGACAGGACAATTTCTGCCTACACATCGGTGCTATGCTCTAGATTCAGGATTGGCAACCTACAGACAAGCCAAAATCTACACACCACCTGCCTTTGTAATAAAGTCTTACTGGAACATGGACACACTAACTCACATATGGTTTGTTAACTATTTTTACAACAGTTGAACTGAGAGTCGCAAAGATAGGCCATTGTAAGGTCCACCCTGGGAAGGTGAGGCAGACTCCTCTTGGCTAAGTCTCCCCAGTACCTATGTCACCTAGTAACTGGCACACTTGGAGCCAGTCACCTCCCCCTCCTCCGAAGTCACATTCTGGGCCTCACCCCAACCACACCTCCCATGGGACACACTATGGGAAGGTCCTAGTTAAGCTCTAAGGTCACATCCAAATCTGGCGGTGCCACACGTTCCCTTATCTGGCCACAAACACCACCACCACCACCCCCAACCCCTTCCTAGTTAAGGCAGGGAAAACCAGCCCTCAAGGCCCTTTTGGCCAAGCCTCTCCACTAGGCAGGGGGCAGGCAGTTCAGAATAAATAAACGTCTCTTCCTACCACAATACTGACATGGTGTTCTATTTATTGGCTACTTAATTAAACCTGCCTACTTTAATTTACCTAACAGCCATATGACTAGAAACCCTAAAATATTTACTGTCTGGCTTTTTATTGAAGCTCTGGCTTAAACAGTAGAGTACCTGCCTTAAGAGAAAAAAGCTAGGTGAGAGTATGAGGCTCGGAGTTCAAGCTCCAGTTTTGGCACAATAAACAAATGAAAGGTATGTAATAATTCAACAACTAAAACAATGGATATGACAAAGACAGGCAGGAATGTAGAGCAGGAAGTTTGAAAATAAACATCTGGGAGCTCAACACAATTTCAAAAAGATCTGTTCTTTACACTAAACCTGAACAATATGCAGATGTCAGCCAGGCAAGGAGTAACAGAAGCAACAGGGCAGAATGGTATGGAGACAAAAAAAAAAAAAAAAGACATCAAACAAAAAAAGAAACAATGACTTCTAGCTGGATGAAATCTACCAGAATTAGAAAAATGAAGCAATATGCTTTAATAAAGACTGGTTCACACAAGCACTGTTAGGCCATATGAAAAATTTCCTTTTTAACAGCAACAAAAAGCCCCTATAAAATGTAAAGTAGGAAAAGCATCAAGAAACTGGTGTAGCAAGCCAGTGGCTCATGCCTGTAATCCTAGCTGTTCAGAAGGCTCAGATCTGAGGATCAGGGTTCCAAGCCAGCCAGGGCAGAAAAGGGAAACTCATCTCCAGTAAACTACTCAGAAAAAACAGAAGTGGCGCTGTGGCTTAAGTGATAGAATGTAGTCTTGAGCACAAAGAGACTCCAGGACAGCACCCAAAAGAAACTGGTAGCACGCTTAGAGTACTGCTGAGCTCAGAGAAGCAGCAGGGATAATGCATGCATTTGGAAGAAAGGAGATAACCTAACTAGAAAGATAGTCTCCTTTTGAACTCAAAGGGAGAATGATTAAAAAAAGACGAACAGTGGCAAATGGAGCTGGGAGCATAAATACCTCAAGCAGTATATGTGTGAGGGGGAAGCAGAAGCAGGAGTTAGTCTGGATCACAGCAAGTTTCTGTTAAGGTGAACAGCACCAGTGGGAGGGGAAGTTGGTCAGTGTCAGGGCAGGTCAACAAGCCTTAGACTAGAGATCCGTAAACTGTTTATTTTTTCTTGCTTAGTCCCAGATTTGGAAATTGAACTCAGGAGCTGACTGCTGTTTCTAAGCTTTTCTTTGCTAAAGGTTAATAGTCTATTACTTGAGCCACAACTCCACTTCTGGTTTTTTGGTGATTAATTAGAAAGAGTCTGATGCAGTTTTCTGTTTGGGCTTACTTTGAACTGTGATCCTCAGATCTCAGCCTCCTGAGTAGCTAGTATTACAGGTGTGAGCCACTGATGCCTAGCTTTTAAATGCAGTATTTTTCATTTGTTTTGTTGGTGCTGGAGGCTGGACTTGGGGCGTTGTGTATGCTAGGCACTTTATCTCTTGACCTGTGTCTTCAGCCCAATAAATAGCATTTTTTCTTAAAAGTTCTCCAATTTGGGAAATTTGTTTGCTCCCTGGAATAATTTTTGAAATACAATGGGAAGAGGTGACATTGGTCAATTAACATTGTACTCATAACTTAACATGGAATTGTAACCTCTCTGAACAATTACTTAATAAAAAAAAAATTTACTTTGCAAACTCTCTACAAAATACCTACTCATTATATTTATTATATGAAAATAAAGTCAAATACAGCATTTCATTATTATATGAAATCCAATGAAGTGAAACTTACCTCAAAAAAGCTCTCTACGTATTGCAAGATGTACACACCACAATCACTGAAGTTGTTTTGCTGTGGAACTTTTGGATTAGAGCCTTTCATAACATCTTTGGAAAAGCTTCTTTTACTTCCTTTTTTAACTTCCCATTCCACTTCTAAATACCTACAATAATGCATATGTAGTAAGAATACACAGATATGTAAATGCACATACTACCTCATCTCTACTGGAATATGAAACAAAGCAGGGGTGCAATTTTAAACTTACTCTCTTAGAATTTTGACAACGTTTGACCGAGAAGGGCCTCTAAGTGAGTCCATAAGTAAGATACAAGGTCTGTAGGGTAGAAAGGACCAAAAGTTGCAGACTTTATAATGTTACAAAGCATGAACAGATTGAAATAGTACAGCAGGATTTAAAACCGCTGGGTGCCGGTGGCTCACTCCTGTAATCGTAACTACTCAGAGGCTGACATCTGAGGGTAACAATTCAAAGCCAGTCTGGGCAGGAAAGTCCATTGAGACTCTTATCTCCAATTAACCACCAGAAAACCAGAAGTGGCGCTGTGGCTCAAGTGGCAGAGCACTAGCCTTGAGTTAAAGAGCTCAGGGACAGTGCCCAGGCCCAGAGTTCAAGATCCATGACTGACAAAAAAAAAAAAAAAAAAAGATTTAAAACTTTCAAAATTATTCTTATTTGTCCAGTAATTACTGGGAGGAGGGAGAAGTAATCCTTAAAGACATATATAGTCCAATAATATTTTAATATCTATAGCTACATTAAACATTATATGATTAAACACTAAGTTTTGATAATATAACTATATTTGAGTTTTAGACATTACATCACCAAAAGGTTCCTAAATTTCTTCAGAATTTAGTAGAAAGTCAAAATAAACTTGAAAATGTCATTGTTTGTGTCAGTCCTGAGGCTTGAACTTAGGGTCTAGTGCTGTCCCTAAACTCTTGTCTTAAGGCTAATGCTCATTCTACCATATGAGCCACAGTTCCACTTTCAGCATTTTGGTGGCTAACTGGACTAAGAGTCTCACAGACTTTCTTGCTCGGACTGACTTTGAACTGGGATCCTCAGATCTCAGCCTCCTGAGCAGCTAGGATTACAGGTGTATACTGGGTCCCTGACACAAGTATTAAAATTTAAACCTCATATTCTAAAAACAAATGAAAGAAAAATAGAGACATATAATACTCTAAAAATCTTTTTTTTGGAGGGGGGCCAATCCTGAGGCTTGAACTCAAGACCTGGGACTGTCCCTGAGCCTCTCTATCACTTTAGCCACAGTGCCACTTCTGGCTTTTTCTGTTTATGTGTTACTGAAGAATCAAACCCAGGGTGTCATGCATGCTAGGTAAGCAATCTACCATTAAGCCACATTCCCAGACCTAAAAAAATCTCATTTTTAATTAAAGTCTATTGTAGAAAACAAAATATATCCAATGTAGTAGTATTATTTGCCCCATGATTCTACTTCAAAACACTCACTAGGTCGATCCAAACTTTTATAAAACAGTATTTATCTAAAGTAAGGACTCTAACATAATGTCAAAGTTCTGAAATATTTGAGGACCTCAGTTCTTCCTAGCTAATATTTTATGGATTTGGAGCACATACCTTTCTCTGTCCCAGCTCCACATTAAGAAGTGAACCCAGAGCCTTGTGCATACTAATCACATGCTTCCATCAAGCCATACCCCAACTCTGGAACAAATTATCAACTATTGATGGTCTCCAGATTTTCTTATATAAAGGAGGTTTGCCATACAAGTTCCTTGAGTTTCTGCCAACATTTTCTATATGTAGGTCTATATGTAGGTCATACTTTATCGTCTAAGGAGTTTGAGAATGCACATGTCCTTCTGAAAACCAACAATGACTTTTCCAGGTATAGCATCTGAACCCTGTCCTTTAGTCCTCTTAAACTAGCTACAGACCTAAGATAAACAAGGCCCAAGCCCATGTTACTATATTTTGTTTTTTGTTTTGTTGGTCCTAGGGCTTGAACTCTGGGCCTAGGCGCTGTCCCTCAGCTCTTCAGTTCAAGGCTAGCTAGTGCTCTACCAGTTGAGTCACAGCACCACTTCTGTTTTCTGAGTGGTTTATTGGAGATAAAGAGTCTCACAGGCTTTCCTGCCCTGGCTGACTTTGAACTGTGATCCTCAGATCTCAGCCTTCTGAGTAGCTAGGATTACAACAGGTGTGAGCCACTGGTATCGCGCCCATGTTACTTACTGACATACATGATACTATTTAACACTAACAAAGAGAAGGCTAAATTTATTACTCCTTGCCGTGGAGAGAATGTCTCATCCTTTCTCAAAGATTCTGGCAACATTTGTGAATTCTCCTGAAGTGTTTTTATATAAAAACTTCCCAGTCATATTTTATTCAGAATGTACGTAAATGAAACATCATACTGCTTATAAAATATAGAATTAATACTTACTGTTTACACAGAGTAGGCTTTAAGTGCCACTGCCCTATTTCTGAATTGCAGTTGTCATCAGCCAGGAATCCATCATCGCTGCTATCATCCTATAAAAACAGTCTACAGTTAGTATTAGAAACTGTTATCTAAATAAACAATAACCAAATGTAATAGCATCAAGGACAAAAAAATTCCTTGTACCAATTATGGGGAAAAAATTTCTATGTAAGTAATCAAACACTAACTTTCATTGTTACTTTATTCCAATTATCTAATGCTACAACACCGACATTTTAGTGAGAACAATCAGAAATTTACTAGAAATTCCATTTACTCCATATAGAATAAATAAAGTTCTAAAAGATTACAAATTATTTTACAATGGGACATGAATAACATTTATTTCTTTTATAATTTTTCTCATAGCAAAAAAATTTAAGGGGATTTGGCAACTTTTAATTTTTTAAACAAAACTACATATTTACTTCATTTGAGAGAAAATGATTTTAGGATGTATCTTTCTCTGTCATGAATGTAAAGTGAACGAGGCTTTTCTTATTTTTTCACTGAGAAAAACTCTAGAATTTTAGGCTGGAATAATCAATAGTAGCAATAATTAGATTACATTAACAGATAAGTGCTATAAACCCAGAAATGATTCAGATTTCAAAGTTTTCTGGATTCTAGAATATGTGCATAGACATTACCACATAAACATTCTTAATCTAAATATCTGAAATTCACATAAAAAATTTGAGGGTTATTTTGGGTTTCAGATTAGGAATACTCAACCTATAAAAACTAAAGGGAAAAACAACAACGCTTTACAGCAATACAATGCAAACCAAAGAACCACCACTCTTCTCCACAAGCCCCTGTTCCCCCCTAAGTTCTGTTGTTCCCAAGAAGATATTGGAGAGAATGAACTCATCGTCTTCTTTGTTAGGGTAAACTCAAAGTTTGTTCTAACTAAACAAAAGTTAGAAAATTAAGAAAATAGTATGCTGTAGGATTCTTATGATCTTTCTTCTCAAAAAACACTCCTTTTTAACTGAAGCCACAAAATTTATCTTTAAAAAATATTTCCTGTGCTTGTGTACCACACATATCTGAAAAATAAACCAAATTTTCTTCAGTGTCGTTAAACTAAAGGTAAAGTATGGCCCATGATTATATCGACAGAGGAAGCAGGCATGGTGGTGGCTGAACTGGAAAGAAAGAATTGCTTTCTTAAAATATGACATTGGGAATCAAAGCCCGCGGACTACCACTGAGCTTGACAGACTTTGGCAAAAAAGAACTTTATATGAAAACATTCTGAGGCAATATTAAGAGTTCAGCCCATTCATAATAGCAAACCAAACAAAAACTGCAAGGTATTAATATGAATACATTAATCCTGGGGATTTCCAACTTGAAAACCAGACATGTTTTGAGATATGATCCACATCTAGGAAGTATGATGAGTTATTGTCAAAGGTGTAGCTTCTTAGATTCTAAAGAAAAACTTAGATAAAACATTGGAGGCTGGGAATGTGGCTTAGTGGTAGAGTGCTTGCATGAATGAAGCCCTGGCCTCGATTCTTCAGTATCAAATAAACAGAAAATGCCGTAAGTGGAGCTGTAGCTCAAGTGATAAAAGTGCGCAAAAGAAGGTCAGGGACAGTGCCCAGGCCCTGAGTTCAAGCCCCAGGACTGGAACAAACACAACAAAACAAAACACGCATTGGAACTTTTGCAAGTATCAGGCTTTACCTGGTTGTCCTGATCCTCTGAGAAGTCAATGAGTCCCTCTTCGAGCATTTTAGCTCCTTCAGCTGATTGGTCACCATAGTTTAGCCTGATTTTGCTTAAGCCATCTAGAATAATAAGAAATATCCTAAAATAAAAAGGCTATCCCTATATAATTTAAAGGAATCCTATGCTAGTAATGAATTGATTACTGCAGAGTAGATAAATTTGCTTTAGCATGTAATATCCCAGGTAAAAAGTAAGTTTCAATAAAAACCTGTTAATTATAGAAAAACATGTTAATTATAGAAATGTTTCTACTACTTAGGGTCTGAGATTCATTAAAATTTAAAAGTTCTCAGATTCATGATTACATTTAAATATACTTATAGATTATGCTTAAATACATATGTATATACATGTACATATTGAGTGTACTAGATATACCAGACACCTTTTTTTTTTGCCCAACATTGTCACTTTATACTTAAACTATAGCTCTATTTAAGACTTTATGGTGGTTAGAGATAAGCGTCTCATGGACCTTCCTGCTTGAGCTGGCTTTGAATTGCAATCCTTAGATCTTAGCCTCCTGAGTAGCTAGGATTACAAGTAGAGCCACTGGTACCCAGCTCAGATATAATGGGAGCTATTGTAGTCTGAAAAATAATACAAATGCCCAAATAACAGGAACAGCAAACTGTAGAACACAAAATAACACAGTATATTAAAATTAAAATTGTGAAATAAAGAAAATTATCCACTAAAGATTGAAAGATCACAAAAAGTAAACACAGTTGCTTTGGGGAAAATATAGGTGTTGGTAGCAGAAAATGAACGCTTCATGGGAAAAAAAGGTTGAAATGGATACTTTTTTTGGTCATGGGGCTTGAACTCTGGGCCTGGGAGCTATCCCTGAGCTCTTCAGCTCAAGGCAAGTGCTCTACCTCTTGAGCCACAGCGCCACTTCCAGTTTTCTAGTGGTTTATTGGGGATAAGAGTCTCATGGACTTTTCTGCCCAGGCTGGCTTTGAACAGTGATCCTCAGATCTCAGCTTCCTGAGGATTACAGGCATGAGCCACCCGCGCTCGGCTGAAATGGATACTTTTAAAGGTCCATTCTAAGAATCTAAGTTGTTAAAAGTCATTCTTTTGCTGAAAGAATCTTAGGAAATGAAACTCTAAAAAGAAGATTTACAAGGGAATTGAGTCAGCATCGTCAATATTAAAGTTAAGACCTGTTTAAAAATATATGCCATTTCAAAAATTTAAAAGCATGAATTTACCTTTGTAGGCTTTTAAGTTATTTTTAAATGGTTAAAAAGCAAGACCCTGCCTATAAAATAACCTAAAGCAAATAAGGGCTTAGCAGGCACTGGTGGCATCCAGCTGTGGCTCAAGTGGTAGAGTGCTTGCCTTGAAGAGCTGAGGGACAGCACCCATGTCCAGAGTTCAAGTCCCATGACCAAGACACACACACACACACACACACACACACACACACACACACACACACACACACACACACACAATGTAATCTCTAAAGTAAGATAATTCTCACTTAGTATGTTATCTGATACTAAGGGGTTAATACTAGTGACTATTTGAGAGATGAAATTATGTTAAAACTGTGTAAAATACATTTATAGGCTGTCAGCTTTAATAAAGGGACCTATGGTTAATTGCAGAGTTATTAATGAAATGACAGCATGTTTACAGATTTTTCTTATTCCTTCAATATGCCACCACTGTGTGCACAGCACACACTGCCTCAACACCCCTCAGATGTGGCGTGGGAGGCTCAGCTGACCTATACGCTTACTCCCTGAGCTTTTGGTCATGTGAGCTCTTGGGAAGCATAAAGTTTTGCTCAAGTTTTCCACTAATGAAAAACAAAGAAAAACACTTTAGAGAATTGCTTTTCAAACTGAGGGACATTATCAACACTGGATTAAATCATTAAGAAAAACATAGAATATTAAGTGTTACCACACACTAAAGTGATAAATTAATGTTTTGTCAAACATTTTGTCAATTTATGTATTTAAATTCATACTAAAAGCTAAACAAATATAACTGTACAGGCCATAACCAAAAGACAAATACTGTAAATAGGACAGGGATATTAATTACACAATTCACATTCAACATGTTTTTACTTCAATATTTACTGGAAATTCTGAGACTATTTCCTCAGGAATAACTAGCTATTTAATCAACCAAAACATTAACCTGTAGGATAGGGCACTAAGAATCTCCAAGTTTTGTCCCATTGCTTTAAATCCCACATTTCAATTTTTAATTCATTTCTTATTTGAAGTCACCTTAGACCATTTAAGATTACTGCCCAAAGGAACATTTTTTGTACTGGTGATTCTGGTTTTATTTTATTTTGGTCCAAGTCCTGGGGCTTGACCTCATGGGTGAGGCACTGGCTCCCAGAGCTTCTTTTGCTCAAGCCACACCTCTACACCTCCACACCTCAGCTTTTTTGGTAGTCTATTGGAAATAGTCTCAAGTACTTTCTTGCCTGGTCTGCCTTCAAACCATGATCCTCAGAAATCACTCAGCCTAGTGAGTAGCTTGGATGCCAAATATGAGCAATGGACTCCCAGCTAATGTTTTGATACGTCTCTACATTGTGTAATGCCCCTATCAGGGTATAAAGACTACTTGTGGATTGAATATACAACCGACTACATAGCAAAGAATCTGAATAAAATGTAAGGTTTTTATAATGGACTAAAAATATGAAACTTATTCAAGGAAATGAAAACCAACTTACTAGGAGACGGGAAAGAAGAAAAGGCAAAAGCTGTCAGCTTCCTACTGGAACACAATACAGGAATGTGCGGAGTGAGGAACTGAGCTTTAACTGATCCAATAATGTTTTCATTGTCAACTTGAATTCAATTTAACTTAAACAGCAAAGACTATGCAACTAATTTATCCTGAATTTGTGAATTATCACATATTTCATGCATCATCAGAGAATAACTTTATACAACATTTTTAGTGCATCTGTGTTTTGATTTTGTGTATATATCTGACCTATGAGATCAGGTATAGACTTTTTTACACCTGAATGTTGATATTCAAAAAGGTCCAGATTTGGAAGTGGTGCTGTGTCTCAAGTGGTAGAGTGCTAGCCATGAGCTGAAGAGCTAAGGGACAGTGCCCAGGCCCAGAGTTCAAGCCCCACAATTGCCAAAAAAAAAAAAAAAGTCCAGATTTTAGAGCATTTCAAATTTCAGACTAGGGATGCTCAGCCTTTACTATAGTTTCAAAGCCGTTGTCTAAGGAATGAGGAAAGAACGTAACTGCAAAAGGGACACCAGACATCTTTGTAGTGATAAAAAGCTTAGTCTTCCTTATGGCAGTGATTATATGACTATATACAATTACAAAATGCAACCACATAAAATGAGAAAAGTCATTTTATGTAAATTCTACCTGAAAATGCCTGACAAAAAGAAAACTGATAATCCTTTTAGAAGTCCTATCTGAATTATTTCAAAACTTGAAGGTACATACCTGGATGATGCACTGAACTTAAACATTCATCCTGTAGGCCATTCTCACTTTTAGACCTATCAACCACCTTCTGGCTTGCAGCTTCTCCTTTATTTGTGTCTTCATTTTCACTTGTAGTATGATTTTTCTTTTTCACAGTACATTTCACACTGCCTATGTTTCTTCGATAACACAGGTCACTTTCTCCCTGACCAGCACTTGAATCCGTTACAGCTAGGCAATGCTTTTTGTTTAGCATCTTCTTAATTACAGGCTTGGCAGGAGAGTTTTGTGAACCACTGTCCATTTCACTGGTCAAAGGAGAAGAAAGACAACTGTCCTCCACAGCTGAACTTTTCTGCATGGTTCCATTTTCATGGTAATGAGGATTAGGTTCATATTTTGGTTTTTCCAAACCAGGGAAACAAACAACAGCCAAAAACCAGTGTGCACTGTAAAAAAAAATAAAGAAACGATTAAATCTATTACTAGAAAAATACTTGGCAATTAATATCTATTAAAATATTTTCACTGGCTTTGTCAACAAATTACCAATGCTGATGTTTTTCAAACAATTATTTATAGTTGCTTATAACTGTTTTCACTTGGGGCTGGGAAGGTGGCTCAGTGGTAGAGTGCTTGCCTTGCATACCTGAGGCCCTGGGTTCAATTCCTCAGCACCACATAAGCAAAAAGAAAAAAGCTGGAAGTGGCGCTGTGGCTTAAATGGTAGAGTGCTAGCCTTGAGCTGAAGAGCTGAGGGACAGCGCCCAGGCCCAGAGTTCAGGCCCCACGACCAGACCTCCCCCCCCAAAAAAAACCCAAAACTGTTTTCACTTGTTTATATGACTAAGAATTTATATTACAAAAATTTAGTGTAAGCTGGTCGCTGGTGGCTCACTCCTGTAATCCTAGCTACTGAGGTGGCTGCAACTGAAGATCATGGTTCAAAGTCAGCTCGGGCAATGAACTCCCAATACTCTTACCTCCAATTAATCACCAAAGGGTCAAAAAAGGAGCTATGGCTCAAGTGGTAGAGCACTAGCCTTTAGCAAAACAAAGATCAGGGACAGCACCCAGGCCCTGAGTTCAAGTGCCAGGACTGGCACCAAAAAGAGAAAAAAAAATTGGACTAGCAGATTTTGTAATATTTCTTAATTATTACAATATGGATAAACTACAGATTTTGTTTCATCTAAAAATTAGGAAAAACCCTTTTCTTTTTGTCTGTCTAAAAGGACAAAGCTGAGTCAAATGATCACTTCTAATTTAAAAAAAACCCAGTTTTGCTTTTCTGAAGCATTTACTGCAATTATTTCTAACAAATACTTTATGACCTTAACTTTAAATAAATTACCATCACCTGGAAAATGACAGCATATAAAAGCCCAATTAACATAATTATTAGATATCAGTATTTATGGTGTTACTTTTTTTAAAATTTGTTGGCTATTTTTTCATCTATAATGGCGTAGTCCTCTTGCAGAAAATTGTGCTGACCTTTATGTTTGTTCACAGTCTTACATAGATGGCTAGAAGCACTGGCATTAGCTTCCATCAACACAGTTCCTACGAGGACTGTACTTCTATCCCTAAATTAATTTTCATTTCTATAAGAAATTTCTGAAATCCATTTCTTACCATAGCTTTCCTCTCTTTCATCTTATACATAGGTCTCACGTTACTGTATATGATAAAATTTCAAGAAATCTTATATTTAGGAGAATAAAGAAATTAAATTTTATTATGACACTATGATTTTAAAATATACATAGAATTGAAAAATTTGTGCTTCACAGTTATCTATAACCAATGTTACCTATAACCTTAGCCCAATCAAAACTGGGCTAAGTACAGAGCACATGTCTCATAATTAATAATTTTTTCTTGTGGGAAGAGGTAAAAGATTTAGTTTGGGCATACTGAAAGGGAATGAATGTGTTTTCACAGTGAGAAGGATGTAAAGACAGAGTGAAGAAGCACAGCCAGAAGTTAGCCTTGCGCCACTAGGTTTATTAACAAGCACGAACAATCACAAAAACCAATTGCAAAGCTATAATCATAATAAAAAGATGCAACCATAATAAAAACCGAGACAATGGCCATTTCACAATTTGTGTAGAGGTCAACACTGTGTCACAAAACACCAATAATCTCCCTCTTTTGTTAAATATGAATATTCTTGTTTGGTCATGGGCTTGAACTTGGAGCCTGGGTGCTGACCCTGAGCTCTTTTACTCAAGGCTAGCACTCTACCACTTTGAACTACAGTGCCACTTCCCATTTTTCTGGTGGTTAGGTGGAGATAAGTCTCAAGGACTTTCCTGCCTGGACTGGCTTTGAACCGAGATCCCCAGATCTCAACCTCCTGAGTAGCTGGCATGAGCCCCTGGCACCCAGTGAATGTTTCTTCTTTATCCACACATACTACCACTACTCAAGACTCTGCACAAATCACCAAACGGGAACCTAAGTTTTCTTTCTTAAGTTCCTTTAAATAACCCTTTACTGAGAAATTTGAGTCGTCCAGGGTGCATGCTAACCCTGCTGAAAAGATAAACCCAATTTTCCAACTACAAGTTTAGTTCCTCATGCTGTCTGGCTGGAGGACATAGAAAAACAAACCAAGAAAACCCTTGAGTCCTAACTGCTTAGTAATTCTATATTGTGTATTACTGCCTCTGTAGTCAGCAGAGGAGGAGTAGCCTGTAGTCATCAGAATACAAAGAATTTAAGCATCTCTGTTTACTTAGAAAACTCCTTCTAGTTCTCAATGTTTCTTCTTTGCACAAACAGGTTCTATTAACAATGCATAAAGTAAAATATCTGTAGATATTTTCTAGACCACAAACACTATTAACTCTTAAAATAACTGTATTCCACATTGACCATCATGACAACTTAGAATAAGGTACATGATGTCGTCTATTCTTTGCCAGATTTAGTGTTTTAAATTACATTACTTTCACAAGATAATACACATAATACATAAATAGTTTTAAAAACAAGTTCTTCACCTTATTAAACATATTTTCAAAACACTACTATTACTTTTACACAAAATTCTTACTCACGCTTCATTAAGGGGTACAAAAATAAAATCCTTCTCAAAAATATCTACATGCCGAGTCCATGTTTTCACTCTCCCATGTCGTTTTTGTTGTATTCTATAACAAAGAGATAAACTGTAAGCTTTGGAGATAATCTTAATGTGTCCGTATTGATTTATAAATTATGAAAACTCAGCAGTAACAGCTGAGTTACATGAGATGGTTTAAGAGGCTGGGAAAAGCAGATCATTTAATGTAAAACTATAAGGAATTGCCCACTACTGAATCTGGAAGCATTTAAAAGTAGCTCTCCTTCTGTTTCTGTAGGTAAAGCAACACAAATTTATTGTCTTGTAATCCTATTTAAGTCCAGAGCCAAGTGATTCTTGGCCTAAACTTCTCTCCATAATATTTAATTCCCACAGATTTGAGAGACAGTGGAACATGAATTATGATAAGTGAGGAGAAAAGAAAAGTAAGCACAAGCTGATAGCAGATAAAGCAGGATAGATTGTGAACACTGGTCAAAATCATTAACTACCATCAACAAGAAGACACAAGATTAGGAACTTCTGAAACAGAAAATATTGTTTATATTCATACCATAGATAAATTCAAGACAACAGCAACTATAAGAAAATGTACCGATCTTGTATGCACAATTAACAGCAAGGATCAGAGCAGGAAGCCGTCACTATATGGGCAGGAAGTTAAGTAAAATTACTCAGGTGTGATATTATCTTAACTTGTCTGAGAGTAACTATCCAAAAAGCTCACTAAAAGTAGATTCTTGCCAGGTGCTGGTGGCTCACAGCTGTAATCCTAGTTTCTCAGTAGGCCAAGATATGAGGATTGTGGTTTGCAGCCAGCCTGTGCAGAAAAGTCTAAGAGACTCTTATCTCCAATAAACTACTCAGAAAAGGCCTGAAGTGGTGCTGTGGATCAAGCTGGTAGAGTGCTAGCCTTGAGAAAAGAAGCTCAAGAATAGAGCTCAGGGCCCTAAGACCAGGAAAAAAAAAGAAAAAAAAAAAAGCTTATTCTTACAATTCCTCTTAGATGAAAAAGCAAGAGTGTGGGGCTGGGAAGGTGGCTCAGTGGTAGAGCGCTTGCCTTGCATGCATGAGGCCCTGGGTTCGATTCTCCAGCACCACATAAACAAAAAGAAAAAAGCCAGAAGTGGTGCTGTGGCTCAAGTGGTAGAGTGCTAGCCTTGAGCTGAAGAGCTGAGGGACAGCGCCCAGGCCCAGAGTTCAGGCCCGACGACTGGACCCCACCCCCCCAAAAAAAGAAAGAAAGAAAAGAAAGAAAAGGCTAGAATGAAACAGAACCAGTCTGCATTTTATAAGCATCTAAGAAATATTGGAAACACTGCTCTAGATCTCAAATATACAGGAGATTTCAAAACTATGAATTGCATTAAATTTACAAACTAGTAATAAAATAATGTTGTCTCAAGAGAAAGTGGTGAAAAACAAAAAACATATAAACAAAAAAGCTATACCTTAAAGCTAGAACAAGATGACCTTAAGTCAGCTGAAGATGAACCTGTAAAGAACAGAAATGAACCCTCCTGGCTGCATTTAATTAAAATAGTAAGCAAGTGAATTACAAAGGTTACTACTTTGTATTTCAAATACCACTGCAATCTATAAATTCAACTGAGGACAGAAAATATCTGGGAGGAAAAACTGCACTTGTACTGACCATGTAGATCACAATGCCTGGTGAAGAACACAGAACAAATACTTGATATGACAGTTACACTGTTCAATAGGTAATCTGGAAATAAGAGTATATGGAGGACATATAAGCAAAATATTCCAACATTTTATATATAGGACTTCTCAAAGGTGAGGGGAATCTAGGACCAATTCTTCTTAGAAGGATAACTATAAAGTATACTTAAGTATAATTAGTTATTAAGTAGGTAAGTATAAATATTCAATTCAAGTGACTTATGTTTGTTAAGTATTTTCAGAGTTTGACTTACGACAGATTACTTGTTTCATGATTTCTCCTCTCTCTCTGATTAAGGCGTTTGTAGAAAAAAGAACTGAATATATGAATTCGGTCAGCTTCTTCTTTCTTCAGTTTTTCAAGCACCAAGTATCTATTTTAAGCAAAAATAATTTCAGTATGATAGATGTAACAATTATTTTTGTTATTTTTTAATTTTTGTGGTGCTCAAGTCAAACTCAAGGTCTTGGGAATGTTAACTGCCACATACATAATGTACTATTGAGCTACATCACTATATCCTCAGCCAAAAGCTCAGGTAAAGTTTAATTAAGCAGTGAACAAATATTTATTTGGCTATAAGCAATCGTACCTATCCTTTAAAGATGAAATAAGTCATTAGTTAAGTTTGCCTCATATTCTAGATGTGATAATCACCAGATTAGTTTCAGGTAATGATAAACTTGAGGCGTGGGCTCTGTCCCTGAGCTTTTTTTGCTCAAGGTGAGTGCTGTATCACTTTGAGACCCTTTGGTTTTCTGGTAGTTCATTGGAGATAAGAGTCTCAGGGACTTTCCTGCCCGGGATGGCTTGGAACCTCAATCCTCACTCAACCTCCTCAGTTGCTGGGATTACAGGTATGAGATACCAGTGCCCAGAAGATCTCATGACTTAAAACAAGAACATACTCCAAGTCAGAGAAGTAACTATGTATCTACATAAAAATCTTCAGGGTTAAAAAAAAAATTTAAGGAATGCTCATAGCATTATAATTAAAAATAATCAACCATAAATGATAGACATGCTCATTAGTAGTTGGAAAAATAAAATGTACAATGGGTTATTATATATCAACAAAGAGAAATCAAGTGTTAATATATACAATAACACAGAAGAATCCCGAAAACATTATGCTAAATGAAAGAAGCCAGCCCCAAATAACACCATTTTTATAAGTCATCCAGAAAGTGCAAATCCATAGAGACCGTCTGGTGGTTACCTAGGAGTAAGGTTGGTAAGAAATATAGAATGAGGGCTATTACCCACCAGAGTAATGAAAATTTTCTAATATTAATTGCAATGACAGTTATACAATTTCTGAATGTATTAGAAGCTCACTAAACTGTTGACTTTAAGTTGGGGATTCTATCTTAAGCTACTGTCTGTGTATGATTTATTTCACTTTAAACAATTCCTTGAATTATATATATCCTATCCATGGATCTATTTCTATATCAAAACAAACAGCAATGGCCTTTACTTTGCAAAGGTAAATTATAATAAACTTAATTGTCTGTTATAAAGTTTCTTATAGAAGGCATACAAACAAGCTTATGACCAACTTCATTCTATCACAAGGATATTCTAAAAGTCGAATGAAAAACAAAAATGCTTTTGTTTGGCCACCTTCAGAGCGTATTCTTTTCTCTTTTTTTTTTTTTTGTCGGTTGTGGGGCTTGACCTCTGGGCCTCGGTGCTGTCCCTCAACTCTTCAGCTCAAGGTGAGTGCTCTACCACTTGAGCCACAGCACAACTTCCGGTTTTCTGATTGGTTTACTGAAGATAAGATTCTCCCGGACTTTCCTTGCTTGGGTTGATTTTGAACCACGATCCTCAAATCTCAGCCTGCCCAGAAGCTAGGATTATAGATGTAAACCACTAGCGCCCGGCTCAGAGCATATTCTTTCTTGAGACCTGTTACTTCTTTTTAGCCAAGACTAGGACTTACACTCGGTATTTGACATTCTTGTTCATTGGGTGACACTCCAAGCCAAGACTCCAACCCTGAGACCTGTTACTTAAAACATTTGCTAATACCAAAGCTCAGTTTATAATGAAAACTATGTTACTTGAAATACCACTTGCATTAAGCCAACTCAGATTCCTACAAAAGGCATCAGCTCACTGGATGATGTGAATGAATTGTTGATTTCTTCAAAAATGTAACTAACATAAGGGGAACCACACTGGCTAGAACTATAACATTTTCTTTTAAGAACAGAATTGAAACCGGACATAATGGCTCCTGCCTGTAATCCTACCTAATTAGAAGGCTGAGATCTAGAAGAACATGATTAGAGGTCAATCCTCAAAGTAGATCCACCTTACTGTAAAATGTGATAGTATTTCTTTCTCTCTGTAAGAATATTCCATTATATGTATGTACCATATTTTGTTTATTCATTATCTATCGATGAATAATAGAGTGGTTTCCATTTCAAAGTCTTTTGAATAGTTACCTACAGTAAGGTTGCTGGATCTTGGGGCAGTTCTGCTTTTGCACTTAGTGCTTTCTTTGTCCCAACATCTTTTTGCCAGAAAACTAAGAGTTCCCTGATCGTCTATACTCCTTAATATCTATTTAATCAAATAGAGTCCTCTTGGCTCTATTTCTAATTCATGCTCTTGCAAGATCTCTCAGTGTTACTTCTTAACTCCAAATGAAGCATCTTAACAAACCTTTTTACATCATCTCTCTTCTAGACTTCCATAATGCACATGCCTATCAAGGTGGCCTTAAGAAAAATTAGCCATGATAGCATTTCTCTTTACAACTTTTTTCACACCAAATAGTTGTGTAAAATCATTAGTAGGCTCTAAAGTCAACTGAATGGGTGTCAACTGCCAGAATAAAAATGTTTTGCTTTGACAGACACTGAAGTGAAATAGAAAACATTAGCACTAGGCATATTGATGGTAAGTCCACTTTTGTTTCATACACATGCGCATTGTATATTGCAAACCAGTAAGCACACAATAAGCCTTAATTTAGGGAGATTCTGTATATATGCTGGAAATTTTCTCTACCACTTATCAGGTATTATTTCATTTAATCCTCAAAGCCACTTTAGAAATTATTCTCATTTAAAAAAATGTGAAAACAGAATATGGAGCACTTGCCTTCCATACATAAGACTCTGGGTTCAATACAGAAACACAGAAGAGATAGACTAAACATGGTCAAAAAAGCAATAAAGGGAACTAAATGAAGCACTTTTGATTTTAGAATAAAAATAGATATAAAATAACAATGTTAAAAAGTTGTAAAATATTAAACTTACTTCAAATAAAAGTCTATAATAACATCATTTAAAAATTCTCCTTCACTTAGACAGTGCAGGTCTTCATTAGTAACAGAGATGCCCCCCTTAGCTGGAGGTGGTGGGTATACTATCAATCTGTAGTAAAATAAAATAAAAGCAAGCTTTAGGTATATATAACTGAAATGTAAGGAAACAGAAAAGAAATCTAAAGCACTGCAAATGAAGAAGAGTTTCTCACTTTTCTATAGGTCCAATGAAGATGGTATGGTTCTCTCCAGTTTCATCCTCATCATCAAAAAACTGAAATTCCTGCTTATTTCTAGCTTGCACTTTAGATTCAAAGGACACCTAAGTAAAGGAAGTTAAATAATCATTCACAAAGTTATATCAGGAAATTTTTCTATAAAAATAGCAAGCACAACTCAGAAAACTTTTCAAGTAAGAGATTAAAAATATAAATCTTGAAAAGTATGCAAGATGCTGAACAGTTAAAGCAAGAAAAAGGCAGGACTTGGAGGTACCTTCTATTTACACTGCAGCTTCTAGACAATGATAGTCCCCCAATGTATGTAAGTAATGGTTTTCCAGTGCTTTATCCTTGCAACATAGAATTAATTACATGGTTGCCTAAGTTCAATGACGAGCAACCTGTGGGATGTGGGGCAGAGGCTCAGGAGCACAGTGCCATGAGATGCAGCCCTCCACAGAGCTAAATGAAGCATGGGGTCCTAGAGGGAAGAGATTTCCATTGAAATTTGAGTTCATTCCAGTTGTCTTATGGCTTGTACAGCTCTTTCCTTCCACAGCAGAGACAACTTTGAAAAGGATGTCTGAAAAACTTGTGTGAGGCCTTGTTCAACTATTAAGACTGTGCCTTAGGGCTGGAGGTGTAACTAACTGCAACAGCATTTGCTTATCATCCTTGAGGACCTGGGTTTGAATCACAGAAGTGTAAAAAAAAAAAGTTGGCCAGGTGTTGGTGGCTCACGCCTATAATCCTAGCTACTCAGGAGGCTGATCTGAGGATCCAAGTTCAAAACCAGCCCAGGTAAGGAAAGTCTATGAGACTCTTATCTCCAATTAACCACCAAAAATCTGGAAGTGGCACTGTGGCTCAAGTGGTAGAGTGCTCACCTTGAGCTGAAGAGCTGAGGGACAGCGCCCAGGCTGAGTTTAAGCCCCACAATCAAAAAAAAAGTTTCAGCTGGGTGTGATGATGCCAGTTAGAACTACAAAAACAAAGAACTATCTTGGAAAAAACAACAAAATATTGTGCTTCAGATTGTCATATTTCCAAGTATATAGGCCCAGGCTGAGAGAATTATTCCTGACAAATTCAATCAGCAATACTGTAACACTGTAACTGTAGAAGTGTTATATTAGTACAGTGATACCATACTTGTTTCATTCATTTCACTTCAGCATTATCTAACTGACTCATGTCAGTTCTGTATAATCTGAGATACACTTTTGACCATTAAGGTCAGATAGTATACATTCCTTACTTCCCCAGTTTTCAACTATGTATGTAAAGGTAACATATAAATGTATGATACTGCAGACAAGAGACCAAAACTCCTTCAAACCTAAGACACGAGGTAACAATCTATTTGAATGTAGTATTGTGCATACATGTATAGCAGAGGAAACCAGATGGAACAGAAGCAAAAGTGCTGAAAGGAACATAAAGCGATTCTGAGATCTATATTAAGTACCATGATATTAAAAAAAAAAACCTTATCCATTATTAATGCTTTGATGTAAGATTACATCATAAGCAAAAATTCCAAACAGAATTTAAAAATCCAAAAGCATACTAACTGGAGGCATGGCTCAAGAGACAGAGCACCTGCCATGAGTGAGAACTCAAGGCCCTATGGTCAAGCTCTGGCACCCGCACAGACATTAAACAAAACAAACACAGAAGTGTACAGTATTATAATAAAACATTTTCTTAAATTACCCATTTATTGGAGCTGGGGTTGTGATTCAGTGGGAGGGTGCTTTCAGAGCATTTGTGAGGCTCTGGGTTTGGATCAAACCAGTACCACAAAACCAAATAAATAAGATTAACCATTTAAAATTATTTTAAAAAACTTAAATATAATTACAGTTTTAACTTTGTTTTCTTTTTGTGTACAACTTCCTTTGATACTTTCTTCATAGCTTCTTGTACAGGCAACAAGTCTGCTATTGGCTTCTTCAAAAGGAATTTTTGCAAAAAAATTGGAAACATTATTCTTCAAACCAATGTCAGTAATGATACTTTCAAATACCATGTTTGCATGAGGATCAAGAGCATTCTGAAAAATTAAAATTATGTATTGTTCTTCCAAACCTAAAAAAAAAAACAAATACGACTGTAAGGCTAAAGGAACAAGTTAATATATAATTTTAACAAGTTAATAGATAATTCTCTAGAAAATATAAAGGTGAAATTGTCAAGTGCAACACTAGTGACCGCTACCATTCACTCATTATTAAGCTGAAACAGTAAATCCTACTGAAATGTGCTAACAGTTGTGCCTTGTTATTCATGTGGAGGGAAAGAAACTAGACAACAGTCTCTTCATTATATAGGATGAAGACTATGAACTTGTAAACTTTCTACCTCAAGGATTTTCAGATATATATGGTAAATATAAACTTAACATTGATATCAAGTCATATTCACTTTACTTGGATTAGGGAGTATTACAGATGCAGATGATCTGGATTTTAGCCCACTTTGAAAAGGTTTCAAATGGACAAGTTTATCTTCAGCCTTTTTTTTTTTTTTTGGGGGGGGTCTGTTGTGGGGCCTGAACTCTAGGCTTGGGCACTGTCCCTCAGCTCTTCAGCTCAAGGCTAGCGCTCTACCACTTGAGTCACAGTGCCACCTCCGGCTTTTTTCTTTTTGCTTATGTGGTGCTGAGGAATCGAACCCAGGGCCTCATGCATGCAAGGCTCTACCACTGAGCCACCTTCCCAGCCCCCTTTAGCCTATTTTTGTGGGGCTTTTCCTCATCTGAACAATATTACAATGCCTTCTTTCAAAGTACACACATCTATAGACATCAACTGTCTTGTACTCACTCTTTGCTATTCAGTAGTTTGTGACTCTTGTTAGAAGTTGTTTAACACACTTACTTGTTAGCTTACTGATTCCTTTACAGTCATTCCAAACTTTATCCTCCTTACTCATTTGCAGTTGCATGCTCAACTTGTGATAAACTGCTGGTGTTGCCTGAAGAAACACGACTGGTAATTTCCTAACATTACACCATTCACATTTAGTTAGATCAGAGGTATTTAAAATAATCTCTATAGGATCACTCTCTGGTCCTGGAGGAAAACAAAAGGGAAAGACATCAACTGTTAAGATAGACAAATCATGAACGAAAAGTTTAACATTAAGCATGTATCTAATAATGCTGTCAGTATGTTAAAGAAGATTCTACATTATTTTACAAATAAAAATAGGCTCTAATAAGATTTGTTACAGTATGAAATTGCATCAAGATTTATGTCCCTTGTTAAATATATATTATATGAATGACTATGTTAGTGACAAATAAGATTTAATCTTTTATTCTTATGGAATACTTCAGTATAAATAAAATCCTAAAGAGTAAACAGATGTTAAACAGCTTACCATCTAGATGTATCTTGATAAGATTTAAAGAAAACTAAAAAAGAAAAATAAAATAAATTAGTACTGATCATAAACTTAAGAAGATTTTGCTACACATATCTTAAATGACAAGGGGCAGAAAAGTTGAGCTATTGACTGTTTCAAGTTTAGACAAAATACTTCCCTCGCAAAAAAAAACAAGCAAACAAACAAAAAAAAAAACTTTTAGCAAGTGAAGCTTCACCTTTTTTGTGAGTTCACAAAACTTTCCCTAATTGCTAGTTTAGAGAAGCTGGGGACTAGTGGTTCACAACTGTAATTTTAGTTATTCAGGAGGCTTGAGATAGTGTTTAGAAGCCAGCCAAAGTAGAAAAAAGCCTGCTATATTCCATCTTCAAAATAACCAGCAAAAAGCCTGGCTGAAGTGTGACTTAAATGGTTGAGTTCCACCTGAGCAAGCAAGACAAGAAGTCTCAAGTCCCTGAGTTTACACTATAGTACAGGAAACAACAAGTTTTGGTTTTATGTGTCTTCAATAGAAAAACAAGAAAGGGAATCTATTTTGGCATATGTTATGTGGCTAGTACTAAAACATTATTTCAAAAACAGTATTTGCATTTAAATGAAATTGGTGTTTCTTTCTTTTTTTTTTTTTTTGGTCCGGTCGTGGGGCCTGAACTCTGGGCCTAGGCACTATCCCTCAGCTCAAGGCTAGCGCTCTACCACTTCAGCCACAGCACTACTTCCAGCTTTTTTCTTATGTGGCGCTGAGGAATTGAACCCAGGGCCTCAGGCATGCAAGGCAAGTGCTCTACCACTGAGCTACCTTCCCAGCCCTGAAATTGGCATTTCTATATAGTGCTCTTATCAGAATGAATTTAAGGTTAAATAACCTAATATTAAATAAATATGGAATTTGCTAAAACATCTGCTTCTTAGGTAATTCATGACTTTGCAGATAAATCATTTCACTACAAAATGTAACCTTTAGGAAAGCCCCATGCTATAAAGTTAATACTATACAGCAAGTACTTTACAGCTAATATATTTCACTTACCAAAAGTATACCAGTACATTTTAATACTATGCGAGTATACAATGTTAATTCTACTTCTCCATAGCATTCCAAGCTAACTCATAACTTGATGAAAAAAATATTCATCCAAATTTTAGTATAGTTCATAGTAGATTTTTTTGGTTTTATTTTGTTTTTGGTGCTAGTACTAGGTCTTGAACTCAGGGCCTGGGCACTGCTGTTCCTTAGCTTTTTTTGTTTAAGGCTGGCACTCTACCATTTGAGCTATACTTCCACTTCATTTGATAGCTTTAAGAATAATAATGCAGCTGGGCACTGATGGTTTATACCTGTAATCCTGAGATCTGAGGCTGAGATCTGAGGATCACAGTCTGAAGCCAGCCAGGGCAGGAAAGTCTGTGAGATTCTTATCTTCAATTAACTACCAGAAAATTAGAAGTGGCACTGTGGTTCAAAGTTGTAGAGCCAAAGAGTTCAGGGACAGCGCCCAGGCTCTGAGGTCAAGCTCCATGACCAACAAAAAAACAAAACAACATGCAGCATTTTATTAAGTGTCTAAATAACCTGTAAAACCATAATGATTATATGCTGAGTTTTAACAGTATTAAGAGGGAGTCATAAATCCTATAGGGTATTCCTGGATATTTTTGAGGTATAAAAATAAAAACAGGAGGCTAGGAAGGTGGCTCATGCCCTGCATGTATGAGGCCCTGGGTTTGATTCCTTAGCACCACATAAGCAGAAAAGGCCGGAAGTGGCAATGTGGCTCAAGTGGTAGAGCACTAGCCTTGAGATGAAGAGCTGAGGGACAGTGGCCAGGTCCAGTGTTCAGGTCCGTGACTGACCAAAAAATAAATAAATAAAATAAAAAATTATAAAAACAATGCGGGATGTGACTCAAGTTCCCAGCCTTGCCAAAATAATGACATTTTTGTTAAATAGTAGAAACCAGAGAAGGTAATATGCACTATGAACCCATGTTAACAAAATGTAAGCTTCATATATCACTGAAAAAGACCCAGATTAGAATAATATTGGGTAACGACAGCCATCGTTTGCTTTTAAAATCTCTGCAGTATTTCTGACATTTCCTACTTTTCAAATCATGACAAGCTGGAGCCAGTTACTCATAGTTTTAGTCTAAAAAAACCTTTCACTTTTTTTTTTTGTTGGTCATGGGGTTTGAACCCTGGGCCTGGGTGCTGTCCTTGAGTTCTTCAGCTCAAAGCTAGAGCTCTACCACTTGAGCCACAGTGCCACTTCTGGTTTTCTGGTGGTTAACTGAAGAGTGTTAAGAACTTTCTTGCTTGGTCTGGCTTTGAACCTTGATCCCCCTATCTCAGCCTACTGAGTAGCTAGGATTACAGGCATGAGCCACCAGAACCTGGCCACATTTCATTTTAACCAATAAATACACAATTTTTTTCTTTTGATCATATATCTTGTTGCTACTTTTTTTTTAACCAGAAAATAACAATAATAAAACTACATTTTAAGTTCCCTACTGCGAAACTATGTTTTCTTAAAAGATTTTGTTCATACATAAACAATAAAACACAGGACTTGAAAGAGTTCAACATAGAGATAACAATATAAAGCAAAACTTAAGGAAATTAAGTACAGCACTGTGTTGTATTGTTTTTTTGGGGGGGGGAGAAAAGGGTGTTAAGAAGAATTTATTTTGGGTCTGGGAAGGTGGCTCAGTGGTAAAGTGCTTGCCTTGCATGCATGAGGCTCTGGGTTCAATTTCCTCAGCACCACATAAGCAAAAAGAAAAAAGCCGGAAGTGGCGCTGTGGCTCAAGTGGCAGAGCGCTAACCTTGAGCTGAAGAGCTGAAGGACAGTTTCCAGGCCCAGAGTTCAGGCACCACGACCAAACCGCCCCCGTCCCCCCAAAAGAAGAATTTATTTTGGTGTATAGTTTGAGGGGTTAGTCCATGAAGGAAGGGTTATAATTCACATTACAATGTCTAGAAAGCAGAGGGCTTTACACAAGATTAATTTATGGAAGATTAATTAACCTACCAATGATTAGAACATATTAGAAAGAAGAAATATGATGACAAAGAAGATTACATTAAAGTTTCAAACAAGAAGCAAACACTTGAATGGGACTGGTGACAGCAGAATAACAAGTGGTAGAGACTACAGAAAATCTTGCAGACTAGCTTAACTAGTCTAAATACATAATGCACCTTAGGGGGGAACTTATAAATACAATACAAACGCTAGTCCGGGTAGTGGTGGCTCATACCTGTAATCTGAGATCTGGGGAAACAAAATTTTAACCAGCCCATGCAGATTTAATTTAAGCCAGCCTAAGGCAGGAAAATCTGTGAGGCTCTTATCTCCACTAAACTACCAAAAAAGCTGGAAGTAGAGCTGAGTCTCAAGTGGTAGAATGCTAGCTATAATGCAGTTCACAGCAAACCCAAAGCTTTTGGATTCTTACTTCTCTCACTACAGTTCCTGAATATATTTTTTTTCACACACTAAGCAAACATGAGAACAAATACTAACAATACTAACATATGGCAAGATTTTCTAATTTGTTGAGAATCAAATGTAGCTTCCTATGTAGTAAACTCAACACAAAATTAATGATACATTTTTATCCACAATTTCAACAGTGAGAAGTTCATATAGGCAGCAATATGAAGTCTTATAACAGTTAAGATATTAACTTTAATAAAAATTGTAAATACCTTACAGATTACTCTTGGTGACAGAATTTAAAATCTTATATAATTGATACAGCAAATAGCTTAATAATATACTTACAATTACAGGTTCTATTAGTAGTCTGAAGAGTGTTCCTACTCGTATACTTCGACAGTTTAAAATGACACTTTCAAAGGTGTTTTGGCAGCTTAAAGATACAGGATTGATTAAAGCTTCTTGAGAAATTAATTTTCGACGTTTTAGAGGTGTGCTAACAAGAGAATTGCCAAACTGAAAAGAAAATGTTATAAATTACTATAAAACAAAGCATAAAGTAAGTAATGTGCACAACAACTTAATACAAGAAACTAAATTGGCACGTTAGGTGATGGTACCTCAGACCTATACTGTAGCTGTGACCTTAGGCTACAGATTGGGGCTCAGCCCAGGAAGACAAATCTGAAACACTTTTATCTCCCAATAACCAAAATCCCCACAAAAAAAAACAACAACAAAAAACAACCCCTCCCCCCGAGAACTAGAGGCATGGCTCAAGTAGCAAAAGCTCAAACTCCAGTACTGGCACATTGAAACAGTATAATAATATACATAAAGTTGATTTTCTTTCAGCAATGTTAGATGAAATATAAATTTATGATTTTTATATAAATCAAGATTTACCTATTTTATCTAGCTCTAGCTTAGTAGTAATTCAAATTTAAATAAAGCTAGGAATGGTACTCTGAAAATCATTGCCTGGGTTTAAATCACCAATTAAGCCATCCATTAATGATTTTCTTTCTTTTTCTTCCCCAAAGATTTCTTTCTTTAGATGATGTAACTACATAAATTTCAGTGTTTTGGTGTAGTTGTACTTAGCTAAAGTCACAAACACCTTTGAAACTTCACAATGATAGTCATCATTCTAATCTAGGAACAGCACCCAGGCCAAGGATTCAAGCTCCACAACTGACCAAAAAAAAAAAAAAAAAAGGAACACTGTTCCTGTTTATATACGTTAAATTACTTGGTCAGTTAAATAATTTCATACCTCATATACAAATTACTTACAAAATTACATACCTATAATTTCAAATAAAAACAATTATACTACAGGTTGCACACACTGGGGTGTTTCAGGTTTTTTGTAATACTTGTGTAGATCTTACTGAAAAATCCAAAAATCTGAAATCTAAAACCTCGAGCATGATACGAGAATTTTCAAAAGGTTTGTCAGACTATGGAATTTTTGGGTTCGAAATCTGTAACCAGAAAAACAGGAAAATATGCCCAGAGGGGCACTGAGAAAGCTGGTCAATGGGAACTATTGTCATGGTTAGGAGTTAGGAAAGTTAACTTCATTATCCTTTTTGAGATATTTCTATGATCTATGTCTTAACAAAATACATAAACAGTATGCACAGAAAACCCCCTAAACTCCATTAATAACTACCAGATTAAGAAAATTCAACAAAATTGTAGAATATGAAATAAACATACAAAAACCTGTAATGTTGCTATATACCAGTAGGAAATTGCTTGAAATACAAAATTTAAAACCAAATAAATCAGTAAGTAAGAGATCTCTGTAACAGAAGAGAAAGAACTGGAAGAACGAACACACACACACACACACACACACACACACACACACGGAAAGACCATAGGAAGAATCAATACTGTTACTATCCATACTATCTAATGTGATTTATAGATGTAACATAATCTCTATCAAATACTAATGACATTGTTTTTGGAGTCTGAAGTATGAAAATCCTGAAGGTTTTATAAGAATCACAAAAACCTAACTAGTTAAAAAAAAACCAAAAAACCAAACCTAAACCTAACTAACCAAATTGGTCTTGAATAAAAAGAACAACACAAGGTAGTAAACTGACTCTAAAATATACTAGAAATCTGTAGTAATCAAAATATTTGAGTAAATATACATTTGCAGACCAGTGGAACAGAATGGAAAGACCAGTAGTAACCCATGCTGCACACACAGGCAACTGATTTTGACAGAAATGGTAAGAACACATACTAGAGAAAGGATAACCCTTTCCAATAACTGATGCTGGAGAAACTGGATGCATACACACACAAGAATGAAAAAGCTCTCTCACTACACAGAGAATCCAAAGAAATGAATTAATAGGTAAATAATGAATTCTGAAAGTTTGAAATTAGCAGGAAGAGAGGGAATACTTTAAGACACTTATCAGAAAAGATATTTTCTAAGACCACAAAAGCACAGTAATAAAGGTACAAACCCCTGAGAAGGTGGCTCAGTGGTAGAGCGCATACCTTGCATGCATGAGGCCCTGAGTTTGATTCCCCAGCACCACATAAGCAAAAAGAAAAAAAGCCGGAAGTGGTGCTGTGGCTCAAGTGGTAGAGCGCTAGCCTTGAGCTGAAGAGCTGAGGGACAGCACCCAGGCCCAGAGTTCAGGCCCCACGACTGGACCCTCCTCCTCCCCCAAAAAAAGGCACAAACAGAGAAATGGGACCATATCAAATGAAAATACTACTGCATAACAAAGAAAATTATTAACAAAGGAAAGAGAAAATATTTTCAAACTATGTATCACAACAAGGGTTCAATATCTGGAATACATAAAGAAAAATGCAAATAACCCAATTTAAAAACTGGGCAATATATTTAAGAGACACTTCTCAAAAGATGACATGCAAATGCCCAAAAGGTACATAGAAAAAATAATGTACAACCTTCTTAATCATCAAGAAAATCCAAATCAAAACCAGAGGAGGTATTACCTCACTCTAGTAAGGATGGCTGCTACCAGAAAGATGTAAATATAACAAATACTGATAAGAATGTAGAAAAAGAGAAATACTAATATACACTGTTGGTGAGAACATAAATTACTACAACTATTACAGAAACAGCATTGACTTTATAGTAGAGTTTGAAATTTGGTACTGATATTCCTCCAGCAGCGTTCTTTCCATTGAGGAGCGTTTTTGCTATTCGGGGTCTTTTATTGTTCCATATGAATTTTTGGATTGCCTCTTCTATTTCCTTGAAGAATGAGGTTGGAATTTTGATAAGTATCGCATTGAATTTGTAGATAGCCTTGGGAAGTATTGCCATTTTCACGATGTTAATCTTTCCAATCCAGGAGCATGGGAGTTTTTCCCATTTTCTAAGTTCTGTTTTGATTTCCTTTTTCAAGTTTTTAAAGTTTTCACATAGAGGTCCTTCACTTCTTTGGTTAAGTTAATTCCTAGGTATTTTATTTTTTGTGGGGCTATTACAAATGGAGTTGCTTTCCTAATTTCAGCCACACTTTTCTCATTGTTGGCATACAGAAAAGCCACTGATTTTTTGGAGGGGGTTAATTTTATACCCTGCTACTTTGCCAAAGTTTTGAATCAGCTTGAGTAATTTGGAAGTGGAGTCTATGGGATTCTTTAAATACAAGATCATGTCATCTGCAAAGAGGGAGAGTTTTATTTCTTCTTTCCCTATTTGGATCCCCTTTATGTTTGCATCTTGCCTTATTGCTGTAGCTAGGCATTCTAATTCTAGATTGAAGAGAAGTGGAGAGAGTGGACATCCTTGTCTTGTTCCTGAGTTAAGAGAAAATGGCTTTAGTTTTTCACCATTAAGTATAATGCTGGCTGTAGGTTTGTCATATACAGCCTTTATTGTATTGAGGAATGTTCCATGGATTCCTAATTTTTCCAAAACCTTCATCATAAAGGGGTGTTGGATCTTGTTGAATGCTTTTTCTGCATCTATTGGGATAACCATGTACTGGCATAAGAACAGACCTCAGGATCAATGGAATAGAATTGAAAACCCAGAAATGAACCTACAGACCTATAGCCATCTAATTTTTGATAAGGGAGCTAAAAAAATAGAATGGAAGAAAGACAGCCTCCTCACTAAATGGTGCTGGCAAAATTGGTTAACTACTTGTAGAAATCTAAAGCTAGATCCTTTTTTTTTTTTTGGGTCTGGTCGTGGGACCTGAACTCTGGGCCTGGGCACTGTCCCTCAGCTCTTCAGCTCAAGGCTAGTGCTCTACCACGTAAGCCACAGTGCCACCTCCGGCTTTTTTCTTTTTGCTTATGTGGTGCTGAGGACTCAAACCCAGGGCCTCAGGCATGGAAGGCAAGCGCTCTACCACTGAGCCACCTTCCCAGCCCCATAAAGCTAGATTCTTATATATCTGCACCAGAATCAACTCCAAATGGATTCTTATATATCTGCACCAGAATCAACTCCAAATGGATCAAAGACCTCAGAGTCAAAGCAGACACTCTGAAAACATTACAGGATGGAATAGGAGAAACCTTAGGTCTCCTTGGCTCACGCCAAAATTTTCTTAATAGAGACCCGGAAACACAACATACCAAAGAAGGTTGGACAAATGGGACTGCATGAAGTTGCAGAGCTTCTGCATGGCAAAGGACATAGCTAGCAAGATCAATAGAAAGCCCACGGATTGGGAGAAGATCTTCACTAGCCATACAATGGACAAGGGTCTCATATCTAAAATATACTTGGAACTCAAAAAATTAAATCCCCAACAACAAATCCTCAAAGAAACAACTGCCCAATAAATAAGTGGGCTAAAGACTTACAGAGAAACTTCTCTGAAGAAGAAAGAAGGATGGCCAATAGACACATGAAGAAATGCTCAACCTCCCTAGCCATAAAAGAAATGCAAATCAAAACAATATTAAGATACCACCTCAGCCCAGTTAGAATGGCAAAAATCAAGAACTCTAACAACAACAGATGCTGGAGGGGATGTGGACAGAAGGGAACCTTACTTCATTGTTGGTGGGAGTGTGAACTTGTTCAACCACTTTGGAAAGTAGTATGGAGGTTCCTCAAAAGACTCCACATAGAGCTCCCCTATGACTCAGCAATCCCACTTTTGGGCATTTACCCAAATGATCACAAACAAGACCACACTAAAGCTACCAGCACAACTATGTTTATTGCAGCATTATTTACCATAGCTAAGAAATGGAACCAACCCAGATGCCCCTCAGTAGATGAATGGATCAAGAAAATGTGGTATATATACACAATGGAATTCTATGCCTCCATCACAAAGAATGACATTGCCCCATTTGTTAGTAAATGGAAAGACTTGGAAAAAATTATATTAAGTGAAGTAAGCCAAGCCCAAAGAAACATAGGTCCCATGGTTTCCCTCATTTGCAATAGTTAGTATATGTATGAGTCAAGCAGAAAAGGTCAGGTAAGGTGATATTAGGAAAATGAACCCTAAGATATGTATTTAAATGTTTTTTTTTTCTTTCATGCATTTGCTTCTAACGCATTTATATGATTATTTCTTTGTTGCTTTGTATGTCCCTCCCCCACAGTATAACCAACCTCTGCTTTCACTGTATTTGATGTTGGTATAATTTGTGGAGGGGAAGGGGAAAAACAAGTGGTTTAAATAAGGATACAGGTGGACCCGTTGCAACAATGAGAAATACAAGTTGGCATGTCGAAAACAAACTTTACAACTTTGGTGGGTGGGGGGAGAGGATTGGGTGGGGAGGGAGGCTTGGAAGGGATGGGAAGGGGAAACAAAGGAGGAGGCTACAATGCTTGATAAGAAATGTACTCATTATCTTGCCCATGTAATTGTAACCCCTATGTACAGTTTTTTCACACACAAAAAAACAGCATTGAAACAATGCTCCTAAAAAATTAAAAACAGCTATCATAAGATCTAGAAATTCTACTATTTAAAAAAAGCCAAAAAATGGGCTGGGAAGGTGGCTCAGTGGTAGAGTGCTTGCCTTGCATGCATGAGGCCCTAGGTTCGATTCCTCAGCACCACATAGCAGAAAGAAAAAAACCGGAAGTGGCGCTGTGGCTCAAGTGGTAGAGCGCTAGCCTTGAGCTGAAGAGCTGAGGGACAGCACCCAGGCCCAGAGTTCAGGCCCCACGAATGGACCAAAAAAAGAACGAAAAAAAATTTGAAAATTGTGAACATAAAGAAATTATGTTTGAGGAAGCAAGGGCATGTTTAATCTGACTTAAACATTATGCTACATGTGTATAAAATAGCATGATACCCTGTAATTGTTTAATGTAACACATAAAAATACAATAAAATAAAACAACATGCTATGATCATATAGCATCTATTATATTAATTGCCTTTTCAAGCATACTAACACTTAGGAAAATTTTTCCATATTGTCTTTTTTTCTTTTCAGGTCCTGGGGCTTAAACTCAGGACCTTGGCACTGTTCCTAAGCCTCTTTATGCTCAAGGTCAGCGATCTACCACTTGAGCCACAGTGCTACTTCCAGCTTTTACTGAGTAGTTTATTGGAGACAAAGAGTCTCATGGACTTTCCTGCCTCTGCTGACATCTGAGGATAGCGGATCAAAGCAAGCCTGGGCAGGAAAACATGTGAGACTCATCGCCAATTAACCACCAGAAAACCAAAAGTGGCTCTATTAGCTCAAGAGCTGAGGGACAGCCGGGCACTGGTGGCTCACGCCTGTAATCCTAGCTACTCAGGAGGCTGAGATCTGAGGGTCGCGGTTCAAAGCCAGCCCGGGCAGGAAAGACCGTGAGACTCCTATCTCCAATAAACCACCAGAAAACCGGAAGTGGCGCTGTAGCTCAAGTGGTAGAGCGCTCGCCTTGAGCTGAAGAGCTGAGGGACAGCACCCACGCCCAGAGTTCAAGCCCCACAACCAAAAAAACCCCAGCCTCCTGAGGTAGCTAGGATTACAGACGTAAGCCACCTGTGCCTGGCTTCCATCTTTTTTTAACGGTCTTACTGAAGAGTTCTAAAGGATTACTTTAAAAAAAATCTTTTGATTTATTTTTCAAGTGAGATTATTTAACTGAGTACTATATGTTAAGAGCTGCTCTAGCTGAATCCACAGTACACACCTTCCGATTGAGCATCACTGTAAAGACCACTGAATAGCATATGGTTCAGTTACTAATCTGAAAACTTACAACTAACAATTCTATATAGGAAAATTTATTATTGACTTAATTGAACTCTTTTATGCTGAACAACCTTCCCCAGTGGCAAGCTATCATTAACAAGTGTTTCTACAGTGAATTCCAAGAAAATGTCTATTTCTTCAAACACTAATCAAGATGAGACACTATCATATTTTTAAAAATTTTGGCAATCTAAACAGTTAACACCAAATCTTTTCAATTCATATTCACTATTTTGATTACTAACTTTGTTCAACTTTAGTCATACACTTTACTCACTTTTTAATGCTTTGCTTCTCTTTCTTGATTATTAAGAAATTAAAAATACAAGGGCTGGGGTTAGGGTTCAATGATAAAGCACTTGCCTAGCAAGCACCAAGCCCTGGGTTCGATCCCCAACACTAAGGGAAAAAAAACAAAAAAAAACATAAAAAAAAAATGTTAAAAATACATAAAAGAGTTGGGTACTGGTGACTCATGCTTATAAGTCTAGCTATACTCAGGAAACTGAGATCTGTAGGAATAAGGTTCTGGAGTGGTGGCTCAAGTGGTAGAGTGCCAGCTGAGTAAAAGAGCCAAGCGAGCAAGCTCAGCAAGTACAAAGCTGAATTCAAACACCAGTACTGGCAAAATAAACAACTAATTTTAAAATATAGATAAAAGACTAGCCTATAACTTTGTCATGTAGTTAATTCGCTATATTCCCCTACCTCATTTTGCATTTACTAATCTAATACTGTTTATAGTATTTTGTTAAAAACATTCATCTCTTAATTTCATAGTTTATTTGTGAGACCACCATTTTGAAAGGTATACTGGGCTTGAACTCAGGGCCTGGGCACTGTCCCTGAGCTTGTACTTTTTTTTTTTTGCTCAAGACCAGCATTTTACCACTTGAGTCACAGTGCCACTTACAGTTTTTTCTGTTTAGGTGATACTGAGGAATCGAACCTGGGGTTTCAGACATGCTAGGCAAGCACTCTACCCCAGGCCACATTCCCAAACCCTTAATGTACAAATTTTATAAAATGTTTTTATCCCTCAAAAAATTAGGAGAAGATATATGTCTCTTTCAGTATTCCCACTCAACGTTAAGTATATAAAATTCTAAAATTAATTCATTTAATTTTTATTTATTTTCAATGGTCAATGCGTCATCATACCATAACTTCCTCGGCCACATCTATATTAGTGGACAATTATTTTTGTCCGTACTATTTATCAACACACATTATGTTTGTATGCATACTCTTACATGCTAGGAAAGGGGAGGAATTCCACTGAGGACTCTAGGTAATTACTTGATCAAATAACTGGTAATTATTCTAGGCAATTAGTTGATTGAATAATTTAATCAATATATGGCATATATTTTAAAAATTAGTATACATTAATTCATACCCTTTCAAAAGTACTTTCTTTTCTATAAGCAAATTGGGAAAATGCATTTGATCTTTGTATTCTTGCCAGCAGTTCTAATTATTTTGTATTAATTGTGTAAGTCCATTTCATTCTTAACTTACACTTCCTTGCTGATCATATAGGACCTTCCTTACTTTGATAAAGTGGGCTGATGAGAATGTTCCTTGTGTATTTGTTTCCTTTAACCTTTATCTTTTTTTCCTGTTATTTTTCTCCTCTAAACTCTTAAAAGCATATAACTGATGACAGACAACATTGACATTTACATTATAAATATTCATCTTTAGATCTCTTTTATATTTACTGTTACATTTTCTGTGAATTGAAATTTTTATCTTGTAAGAAATAAAACAGACAGTAATCTCTCTGTACATCACCTTTATAACAATTAAAAAAGGAAATCTTGGAGCTGGGAAAGTGGCTCAGTGGTAGAGCGCTTGCCTTGCATGCCTGAGGCCCTGGGTTCGATTCCTCAGCACCACATAAGCAAAAAGAAAAAAAGCCAGAAGTGGCGCTGTGGCTCAAGTGGTAGAGCGCTAGCCTTGAGCTGAAGAGCTGAGGGACAGCGCCCAGGCCCAGAGTTCAGGCCTCACGACTGGACCCAAAAAAAAAAAAAAGGAAATCTTCAAAAGCAAAAAACCCTGCTTTATAGAAAAATACATACAAATTAAAAAATGACTTCTCCTGTCTACTAGATTTCACAAGAAATCTGTTTGTATATAGCTGAGCAACCCTTTGGGAAATCCTAACTTTGAGTGTTAGCATTAGGACAAAGTAGAAGACTTCATATAGGATCTGAAATGGTAAGTTCAGAGTCAGATACACTACAAATATTGTTCAAAATTATCTTGAGGATACCTGTATAATTTATACATCAAACATAAAGAGATTTCCTATGTATATTTTGGTCTCATTTCTGCATAGCTGGTTAGATTTATATTCAAATTACAAAATTTGAAAAAGAAATCTGAAATTCAAAACAGTTCCTGCCTCAAATATTCTGGACAAGAATATTCAACCTGTACTGTCACACTTTGCTGTAAGGCAAAGAATCTGTCACAAGTTTAATTCAAGTCTATTTAATTCAAGCTTATTGTTATAAGTAGTTAATAGTCTTCTAAAATAATCTTGTAAGTGGTATTTAAGCTCCAATGGGTAGATAATCCATATTTTTCTCCCCATTGACACTTCCAAATTGGCTTTCAAAAACAATTCATCCAAAAGAGTCTATCAAAAAACATGACAACAAAGATAAAGAGTACCTGGTCTTTCATTCTTGCTTTTCTTGGCAATGAAATTGTATTTAGCTCTGACTCTGCCGAAATGCTCCTTAGTTCATGCTCTGCTCTGCAGGTATTTGCATTTAGTGCTGCTTCCACTTTTCCAGTGGATGGAGCTGGGGAAGAACATGCTGAGTCAGCAGGTCGTGGGGATATGCTCTCTCTTCTCTTAGTCCTGTCACCGTCATCATCATCATCACTGGACAGAATGACTAATATTATAAAGAAAATTTTACATTAAGATCAGGTTCATAGTAATCTTCTATTCCATGAAGGTAGGAACTACACCTCCAGCCCTATTTGGCAACTTTTAAAATTTATTACAGGAATATGCAATTGGTGCTATAATTGTACAAATTCTATAATCACAACTATTAATGCAGCTACAGCAACAAGTTACAAAAATTAAACAAGTTACAAAAATTAAATGTTTATCAGCAAGTTTACTTTAGAACTTCAGAAAGTTTCAAGTATGGAAATTATTTACAAGCTGTTTTCAAAATGGCTTTTTCTTTTTTTCTTTTTTTTTTTGGTTGTGGGTCTTGAACTCTGGACCCGAGCACTGGTCCCTGAGCTCTTCAGCTCAAGGCTAAAGGCTAGTGCACTACCACTTGGGCCACAACGCCACTTCTGCTTTTCTGGTGGTTCACTGGAAATAGAGTCTCACAGGTGTTACTGCCTGGGCTGGCTTTGAACTGCGATCCTTAGATCTCAGCCTTCTGATTATCTAGGGTTACAGGCGTGAGCCACCAGCACCCAGCTTCAAAATGTATGTATTTTTAATATGAAACCTCCTATTACCACAAAACCACTGGCCAGTGCCAGTGACTCATGCCTGTAAACCTAGTTACTTTGAAGGCTGAGGACAGTGGGTCCAGTCAACTTGGACAGAAAGGTCCAAGAGACTCTATCTCCCCTGAGGGAAGCTAGTCACAGTGATGTGAGCCTATGATCCCTGTAATAGTGGGAAGCCAAAAAGTAGGCAGTTGTCAACTCAGGCTCATTTCTGACCCTGAAAAATTACCATATGAAGATAAATTACTCCTTCAACATATTACTGAACCTTATTATCTCTAAATAGTAATCTTCCAGAGCCACCCATACAATTCTTGATTGTAATTCCAACTTTCTTATTCTTACTTTTAAACATACACAATCTGACCATTTTACAACTATGCCATAATGTTCTTGTTTTTCTCTCTTTATGCTTCAGGCAGACAAGCTAGTATTTCTCAAAGATCATAGGTTTAGTTCTGCTTAGACTGCTTGTCCTTCAATATGCTACTTTGTTATCAAATATTAAATATCATATTGACTAACAATCCAACCTAAAGTAAGCATAAATGTACAGTACTCAATTGTATCAGCTGATTAAATATTTGGGTTTGTTTTCAATGTTTATTTTGCAAGAAAGCAGGGATAGATACAGTCTTGTACACTGCAGTATTTCAAACCTTGAGAAGGGTCTTGAAAAATTATGCTGTATGAATGTATAACAGTTCTCATTTTTAATATCCCACACATAAATGACAAGTTAATATTTACTGATTAATGTACATGTCCTAGAGCATCATACCCATTATGCTTCTAGTCTCTTTTTATTGTTGCCCAGTCTCAGGGGCAAATGCTGACCTTTATTTTTTGCAGAACTAGTTATATGTTGGCTTAATTTCTCTTCTGTATGCAATGTGAGAAGAGACAAGGGTAACTACTGCACAGTACTGCTGCAAAGAACAAATGATATATTTAAGATGCTTGGCACAGTACTGTGTGTGTGTTAGAGAGAGAGAGAGAGAGACAGAGAGAGAGATAGTTGCATGCACTCAACATTGCTTTTAAAAAATTCATGTACAATTTGTATTGGAAAAACCACATGGACAGCCAGGTACAGCTCAGGCCTTGTAATTCAAGCTACTCAGAAGGCTAAGATCTGAGAATCAATGGTTCAAAGCCATCTTGGGCAATTAAGTCCATGAGATTGTATCTTCAATTAATCACCAAAACAGTCAGAAGTGGAGCTATGGTTCCAGTGGTGGAATACTAGCCTTGAGCAAAACAAGCTCGGGAACAGCATACAAAAACCTCGAGTTGAAGCCCTAGGACCAGAACCCACCTCTGCCATCAATAAAAAAAATAATAAAGAGTTAACTTACATTCATTTATTTCATTATTTTTGTTGCTGTAATTTTTTGGGGGGAGGGGGCTGGTCATGGGGCTTGAACTCAAGACCTAGGCGCTGTCTCTTGAGCTTTTTCACTCTATCACTCTGAGTCAGTGCCACTTCTGGTTTTCTAGTAATTCATTGGAGAAAAGGATCTCACAAACTTTACTGCCCAGGCTGGCTGGCTGGCTTTGAACCAAGATCCTCAGATCTCAGCCTCCTGACCAGCTAGGATAACAGGTGTGAACCACTGGTGCCTGGTGCTGTTAACTTTTTATTGGCATACATTTCTGCCACAAGGAGGAATTTCACTGTGACATTTCAATTCACGTATACAATGTATTCCAATCAATCTTGCCCCCGAGTTCACCCTCTCCCTATCCTAAAACAATTTCAGTATGTTTAATTTTCTATATTCATATAAGCAATCTACTTCCACCATCCCCATCCTCTACCACCTCTTTGATAAACCAAACCTTCCCACTAGTGGTTCCTACCATAACAGCTCTACTCAGGATCTTTAGTTTCTCATTGAAAGGCTGGCTTAGTGATAATATCCAATAAGTGTCTATTAGGTAACTATTATACATACCTTACCAGTAGGAAAGATTCAAATACTGTTAAGTTTTTGATAATGCATCGATATACTTCTCAAGTGCTTCATATCTACACTTCCTTACAAAGTATCACAGCTGGGAACACAAAGTCTGAGTTCTTTTTGAAAAAATAATGTAAAATGCTGTATAGATTGAGATTTTTATATTAAACTGAATTATAATAGGATTTGATTTATATCTCTTATTCCCCTTTATTTTAACTGGTTTTCAGAATAATGCTTTGAAACTCTAAACAATGTCCCAAGGTAACAAATGAAAACCTTTTTTCCTATCTCTTTGAGAGGTGGGATGTATTATAACTAAAGTTTCTTTTTTTTAATACATCAGAACATTTCAATGACTAATAGTTTTAACTCTTTTTGCCACTCAAAAATCTCTCGAGGCTGGGAAGGTGGCTCAGTGGTAGAGCGCTTGCCTTGCATGCATGAGGCCCTGGGTTCGATTCCTCAGCACCACATAAGCAGAAAAAGCCAGAAGTGGCGCTGTGGCTCAAATGGTAGAGTGCTAGCCTTGAGCGCTGAGGGACAGCGCCCAGACCTAGAGTTCAAGTCCAGGACTGGCAAAAAACAAAAAACAAAACAAAACAAAAAAAATCTCTCATTTGTGGTTAGTGGCAGCTCTTCAACTTTAGCTCCTGTATACTTTTGACAAGTTCATAGAGCTTTACATTTTTTTTTAAATTATTACTTTCTCATATGATGATCTAGTGCTTCAGACTTGGAATAAGACATCTAAGGCTGGGTGCCAGTGGCTCACACCTGTAATCCCTAGCTACTTTGGAGGCTGAGATCTGAGGATTACAGTTCAAAGCCAGCCTGAGGAGGAAAGTCTGTAAGATTTTTTTTTTTTGGTCGGCCGTGGGGCTTGAACTCTGGGCCTGGGCACTGTCCCTCAGCTCTTCAGCTCAAGGCGAGCGCTCTACCACTTGAGCTACAGCGCCACTTCCGGTGTTTCTGGTGGTTATTGGAGATAGGAGTCTCACGGTCTCTCCTGCCCTGCCCGGGCTGGCTTTGAACCACAATCCTCAGATCTCAGCCTCCTGAGTAGCTAGGATTACAGGCGTGAGCCACCAGCGCCCGGCTTGTGAGACTCTTATCTCCAATAAAGGACTCAGAAAACTGGAAGTGGCGCTGTGGCTCAAGTGGTAGAGCGCTCACCTTGAGCTGAAGAGCTGAGGGAACGCCCAGGCCCAGAGTTCAAGCCCCATGACCAGGAAAAAAAAAAAAAAAAAGACATCTGAGCAACTGATTATTATTAGTAAAGAATAGCATTTTAAGATATGAATATGAAAACTATTGCTGTTCTTTTGTTTTTTAAGTCATTCATCTCTACACCAGGGTTTATTTATTGCTTCTCAGTATTTCTATGCATGAATATAGGAAATATGTCTTTCATATTTTGTATAGTAAATTCACACCATTATCTATAATTCAAGCTTAAAGACACAGGTCTTTTGCTTCTTTGATTTTATTTTTTGTGTTCCTTTTCTCTAACACTGAAAGATACAATAATGTAAGTACTCATTTGCTTTGTCAATGCTTTCAAAAATAACAATACTATTTAACAGACCTAGAATTCCTGTGTAGTTCTAGTTAACCTTAAATAAACATATCACATTAAGGATGTACAACCACAATACTTTAATCACTTGAAATAACTGTGTTCCCCCATTAACTAAATATGTAACCGGTTAACTTTTGTTATTAAAAACAAAGTTTTATTTTAAATTTTTTGTAGGGCCATGTGTAAGGGGGAGCTCCTGACTGCAATCCCAGCTACTATGAGCCAGAGTTTAAAAGATGGTAATTTAAGGCCAGCAAGTCTTCCCACCACTCCGCCCTTCAAAGTTAGCAACACTTTTGTCTCAAAGCCATATTATGGCTCATGTCTGTACCATCATGATGGAAAGGCCGAGAGCAAAAATGCAGTCTGAAGTTGGCCCTGGCAACAAATGTGACTCTGTGAAAAATAACTTAAGCAAAAAGGGTTAGAGCCATAGTGCAAGTGGGACTGCTCTTGCCTAAGAAAGCACAAGGTCCAATGAATAGGTAAAAATCACATTTTAAAGTTACATAAAATAATATGTATTCCTAAGGCTAAATTATTAAAGGTGTATTTTACAAAATCTTGTATCTATTCTTAATGCCTACATTGTCTGCTCCCTTTCAAATCAACTACTTTTTTCTATAGTTTTTGATAATCTACCTAAAAACCACATTCAGGCCTGGAGAAATGGCTCAAGTAGTAGAGGAACTTCCTAGTAAGCTCAAGGCCTCAAGTTCAAATCTCCTTATCACATACACAAAAATACACAAAGTAAGTAAAACCTGTATTTATTCTCTCACTACATATAATGTACAGCTGTGTCTATACCTAAGATCTAAAGTATACACTCTTCTTCTAGCTCTACAACTATGTACCTTGTAGTTCAATCAACCAGTCCCTAATTAACTTTTCCCTTTTAGAATGAACGTTTCTAGCATATCCAAAGACAAAAATAACTTTAGGGAAAGAAGGAAAGTGGTTAAACAACAACAAAAGCAAACCTGATTTTCACTGAGTCCTTGCTATATGTCAAATATAACATCAGGTCATACTTACTTGGCACTTATATACCGTTTTATCTATCTGCCCCAAAACACTATCAGAAGGAAATACATGCATTTATAATCAGACAGATTCACTATGCTAAAAGAGAAAGCTCAGCACTACTAGTACTTGGACCAACCCAGTTCTCTTTTACAAAGTCTGTTATTTTTTTTCCCAAGGATGTGGACATGTTTTAATCATGTACCTGTAAAGGATGTTATTTATTGGACACAAGATACCTAGTAACACCACATTTCTCAAGTATATATACATTCAAACTAAAAAATGTACATGAAGACATTGAATAAATGTATTATTTAAAAATATACTTACTTGGGTCATTTAGGTCAGACAAGCTTGTTTTTCTTTCTTTCAAATTTGTGGCTTTGGGTATTTTTGTCGGCAAAATGACTTTCCCATTAGCATGCAAATAATGATGTCTACTATCATCACGGTTCACAATAATATCAATTGGAATCTTTTCCATATTATTTCCATAAAATTTCTTGGTTGTTAATCCTGTGTTTTGTAACTTTTGTCCACCAGAATTCTGATGAATTGACGTTCTTAATAATGCTGCAGTAGAGTCATTTAATGTTACAGTTTGTCTGCAATTTCTTTGCAAATCATTATGAAAAATAATACCACAACTTTGGCATTTGGTCTGGTTTTCTTTTTCTTTTCCACATTTTGGGCAACATTCACGCTGTTCAGAAACCTTATGTTCCAAAAGAACAAAAGAAAGAAAATATTTTGGTATACTTTAGCATCAAAAAACTACTTCTAGAAGTCTCAAATATAAATCCTCTTTTCCCCATCATCACTATCACGAGGTCCTGATAACAACAATAGGCATGAGAATATGGGAGAGTTTCATGTCTATGTAGTACAACAGTAAGCTATATGTAAGCTAATCTATCTGTAAGAACTGGAGGGTAAGGAAGGTGAAAAACATTATTATAATTAATATATATTAACAAAGTGAATGACAGGAGAATAAACTCCGTTGGGGAGCTGGTACCAGTGGGAAAGGAGAGGGATAATAGAGATGGTAAATATGTATTTTATGTGCATATATGGAAATAAAACAATTTTGAACTCATTTTAAGAAAAGAGAGGGAGGAAGTGGCGCTGTGGCTCAAGCGGTAGAGTGCTCACCTTGAGCTGAAGAGCACGGGGACAGTGCCCAGGCCCAGAGATCTAGCCCCACCACCAACCAAAAAAAAAAAAAGAAAGAAAGGAGAGGGAGAAGAGAGAAGAACATAGGCAGTTGAGTTCAATGAGGTACATTACATATACAAAAAAAAGTCACAATAAAACCCCTCTTATAAAAGAATTATATGCTAGTTAAGAAAATCTTTTTTGAGGCGAGGAGGGGCACTGTCCCTCAGCTCTTCAGCTCAAGGCAAGCACTCTACCACTAAGCCACCTTCCCAGCCCCAAGAAAATCTTTAAAAAAGGAAAGAATTAAGAGAAGGCTGGGAGTGTACCTTAATGATAGAAAGCATAGAGAGCATGCGCAAGGCTCTGTGCTAGTTTCCAGTACTGCAAAAACTCTGAGGCTATGAGACCAAACTGTGACTGACTTCAATACTTTACTGTCTATAATAAAGGTATACAGAACATATACATACATACATACAAAATTTCATGAAAAAGCCAAGTCCCAGGTATTTACTTTCAAAAATTGACAGTGAAAAATAAAGGTATATCCCTATTACTGAAATCCCTAATATTAAGAAAAAATATGCCGGGTACCAGTGACTCACACCTGTAATCCTAGCTACTTGGGAGGCTGAGATCTGAGGAGCCAGCCCAGGCAAGAAAGTCCATAAGACTCTTATATCCAATAAAACACTAGAAAACCGGAAGTGGCGCTGTGGTTCAAGATATAGAGTGCTCCTCTTGAGCTGAAGAGCTGAAGGACAGCGCTCAGGCCGAGTTCAAGCCCCATGACCGACAAAAAGAAAAGAAAAAAAAGGAATCCTGAGCCTTGGCACATCATCTTTCAACAGCTAAGAACACTTGTCTTAGAACTGTTTGCAGCAACTACAGAGTCTTTATAACTAGAGATTAATAATTTCATAAGGCTGGAGATTTATTTCAAAGACAGAGTGCTTACAGAACATGTACAAGACCCTCCATGGCTTAGATTCCCCAGCACTCAAAATATAAAACAATAAATAAAAAGGAACCAAACCAAGAAAAACAAAAACCCTTAAGAATCTCCACATTGCACCCCCACCCCCCCAGCTCACTGTTTAGTGCCAGTCCTGGGATTGAACTCAGGGCCTAGATGCTGTCCTGAGCTTCTGTGATCAAGGCTCATGCTCTACTACTTGAGCTATAGCTCCACTTCCAATGCTGGTGGTTAACTGGAGATAAGTTTCACAGACTTCCTTGCCCCTAAGTAGCTAGGATTACAGGTGTGAGCCACTAGCACCAGGCTAGCCCTTAGAATTTAATACTGAATACTGCCTCAGGTAGTTTTACTGAAGAATATACAATGTATTTTTCATAAAATTTTTATTAAGGATAATTTCTTCTTAAAAATAAAAAGTAATTAAAATCTCATTCTTCCCTTTTGGTACATGGAAAATTTACAAAATTAAAAAACATCCAATTATAGGACTGAGGGGTATAGCTCAGTGATAAGGAGCTGGAACAGTAATTTAGCACTGAGAAAACAAAAACCAAACAAACAAAAACACTAAAGTACAAGTAAAGTTACTTGTTACATGCAAATACTCATCTATATACTTAAGAAGGAGCTCGTGTGATGGAACACTGAGATAACAATGTTGTTTTCTTAGAAGGAGTACATAGTGTGGACTTCCATTCACTATGAATGGGAAGATAAGCCATCTACTTTGCTCACAATCAAAAATGCCATAGAAGCTGGCTACAGTTCTTTATCTCCACTAAGAAAAATAATAAGAACTGTCCTGGAACTAAAGTAAAATAAGAAGTTAGCTTTACTTGGGAAACTTTTGAAAATTCTGAGGTATTCAGCTAGTAACCCAGGAGACAAAAACTACTGAGGAAAAGTTTCCCTCCCTTTTTCCTCCTTCCTTATCTGGACCTAGCAGAAGATGCCAAGAGAGCCTGAGCTGAGCTTCAGCTGGCAAGACAAGAGACTGATCACACAAAGAAAAACTGAGTAAATAACAAAACACATGAAGAGGGAGTCAAGTTTCTCATTGATGAAGTTACTATCATGCAAAATGGGAAAAGCTAAAATAAACACTGTAATATTAGACTAGCATTAAAGTAACCAGTGTGAAATAATTTTAATACATATAACATTAATTCACATACTAAACGATATAAAACACAAACGATTATTTCCTAGTCCTGTCTACAGAGAAGAACTACTGTCAGACACAATATATATGAACATAACTAATAACTAATGCCTGCATACTTTTCCTTCTACTTCAAGGAACAAAGTTCCTTGGGGAAACTGATGACTGTAGAGCTGAAACAGAGAAAACAAAAGCCTAGACCTCCTTGTTATCTCAAACAGTAAAGAATACTCAAAGAATAATGGGTATACTCAGAAGGCTGAGATCTGAGGATGGAAGCCAGCCAAGTGCCAGCCAAGTAGGACATACTTGAGACTCTAATCTTCAATTAACCACCTAAAAAACAGAAGTGGGGCTGTGGTTCAAAGTGATAGAGTGCTAGCCTTGAACAAAAAAGGTCAGAAACAGTGTCCAGGCCTTGAATTCAAGCCCCATGACAGACCAACCAACCAACCAACCAAAAACAAAACAAAACAAAACAAAACAAAACAAAAAAAAAGCCACCAAAGAGTACAAATTAAAATAGCTGGAGGTTTGGCTTTTAGTATAGCACCATCCTAATATAAGCATGAGGCCATGAATGCAAACCTCAGTACCACTACTACTCACAAAAACCTAAACTGATAAACACCAGAAAGTCAAAATAATTCTTTTGAGTGAAGTAGAATCCTGTGTTTCCTTAAGGGAGGAACACAGAGGATCTATGTTTATGTGCCTCTGATCATATAAAATTGAAATTAACTCTAGGAAATGGAAACAAGGAAAAAAAAAAAAACTGTGTTCCCATGTCAACATAAATAGGTAAGATGAAAAAATGGCCTGAATTTTAATAATAAAATGAGTACGGGGCTAAAGTATATCTAATTGGTAGAGTACAATCACAGCATGGAGCAGACTACAGGTAAAATCCCTAAAGCCAAGGGGTGGGGGTGGGGGGCGTGGAGAAGAGGAGAAAGGGAAAAAGAAGGAGAGAGAAAGAGGGGAAGAGAGAGAGGGAAGGAGGGAAGGGAAAGGAGAGAGAGGGAGGGAGGGAAGGAAGAAGGAAGGGAGGGAGGGAGGGAGGGAGGGAGGGAGGAAGGGGTACGGAAACTCATTAACTTTACAGTATAGATATTTAGGAAACAACTAGAGTTGAAATATCACTGATATGAAAACAGGTATCATGACTCCTGATATGTTATGTACAATGAGAAATCAGTTTCATATTTATAAGATTATGTCTTTGTTGCCTTGTATGTCCCTCCCCCATGGTATAACCCCTGCTTTCACTATATATGATGTTGGTATATATGAAGGGGAAGGGAAAAAACAAATTGATAAAACAGGGATACAGGAGGACCTATTGCAATAATGACATGTACAAGTCGTTATGTCGAAAAACGAACTTTACAACTTTGGTGGGGGGATGGGGGAGCAAAAGGATGGGAAGGGGAAACAAAGCAGGAGGCTACAATGCTTAGTAAGAAATGTGCTCATTATCTTACCCATGTAATTGTAACCCCTATATACAGTATTTTCACAATAAAAATATATTTAAAAAAAAGAAATCAGTTTCATTTCTGAAGAATTCTTGGGAAAAAAGTATTAAGAAGCAACATCAATGGGGCTGGGAAGTTGGCTCAGTGGTAGAGCGCTTGCCTTGTATGCCTGAGGCCCTGGGTTCAATTCCTCAGCACCACATAAGCAAAAAGAAATAAGCCGGAAGTGGCGCTGTGACTCAAGTGGTTGAGCGCTAGCCTTGAGCTGAAGAGCTGAGAGACAGCGCCCAGGCCCAGAGTTCAGGCCCCACAACCGGACCCCCCCCCCCCCCCAAAAAAGAAGCAACATCAAATAAACCCAATTTGAGATATACAAAGTAAATAACCTGTACTCCACACAAACACTGAAGTCATGAAAGACAAAATTTACTGGAATTATTCAAAATTAAAAGCATCTATGCAGAAATAGATTCTTTAGGTAAAATATGAAATGGTTATGGAATAGATAGTAAGTTTGAGTCACTGTTTTCTAATTTTGAGACTTGTACTCTGGTTATATGAAAGCCATCCCACTTAAAAGAAAAAAAAAAAAAAAAAAGGAAGCTGGGCGCCAGTGGCTCATGCCTATCATCCTAGCTACTTAGGAAGCTGAGATCTGAGGATTGCAGTTCAAAGCCAGCCAGGGCAAGAAAGTCTGTGACTCTTATCTCCAATTAACTGTTAGAAAACCAGAAGTGGTGCTGTGACTCATGTGGCAGAACACAAGCCTTGAGCTAAAGAGCTCAGGGACAGCACCCAGGCCCAGAGTTCAAGCCCCATGACTGACAAGACAAAAAAAAAAAAAAAAAGGAAACATTGGATATCATGCCTGTAATTTCCACTCAAATGTATGTATCATAGGGGAAAAGGGTAAGGGAAGGTAGAGGAATAAAAAAATACAAAAAACTGGGGAATTTGTGCAAATAATATAGATAGTTGGTCTACTCCCCTCCCCCCCAACTTCAGCCATTATCTGTGATGTGTGTCAGGTCTGTACTAACAGGTTTGCCTATTTCACTTTTCTAGGTTTCTTATGATTCTATGACTTAAGATCACCTAGAATTTAATGAGTAACACAATATTAACAAAAATACTATGTGACCAGTAACAAAGAATAATTTCTCTACCCACCTCTAAATGGGTTAAACATTTTTTTGAAGCAGGAGGCAGAGGAGAAGTAGGCTGATATGCACTACAGTGTCGTTTCTGTTGTACTTTCCTCTTAATTTCAGGCTCTACTTGTGATTCAGACTCTTCTGTTTTCTTCATTATACATTCTGAAACAGAGAAAAAATAACAGTACTGAAAAAATGTACATTTGCAAACATTATGTTTTAGCTAAAATAAACCAGTGTTTTAACATATACAATAAAGAGCAATCAGAACTTTGATTACTTTGTAAAGAGAAATGTATCAGCTTGGTCTGTGCTACTAAGGCAGAAGCAGTACTTAGCAATAAACACAGATTTATCTGTGGCAAGCATCCTATTACTTGGTTATATATACTCCCCGACCTTGTGACCCTGCAATTCTAACACATATCTTTCCGTGATTCTAGTAACTAAATGTCTAATTAAACTCCAATTTTTGGCATGAAAGACATGATAATATTCTTGCCTTACTTCTAAACGTTACTTCAAAAAGGTGAATTTCTCCACAGTGTTTTCTCTTTACCCAGTTAAATACAACATGTGCTGTTTTCTTTACAAGCAAAACCTACTCAATCTACCTTATGAATTGAAATTCTTCTTTGCTAAAATACTCTGTCTCACCCTAGGTAACTAAGCAGTACTTCAGTGTCTACAGCACTTTATATTTCAAGTAGCACTCATTCATAATCTAATACTTGTTCATACTCATGTTTCCTCCAGCTTTAAAAGAGCAGAAATCATAATTTAGTCATCACTTTTCACCTAGAAACGGTACAAGGTAGGAAACAAAAAAGTGCTTCCTGGATTAAAGAATCACTCAAAGACAAAATGATGTGACATATTTTTAAAGATGAAATTACAAGGGTACATGCAGGAGGACAGCTGACGCTTCTATGTCATCTCTGAAAGTGACTTAACTATTACCACACACAGAGCTAGAACCTTTTAACTTCGAGCAAGAAAGAAACTAAATGATGATCTCTTTTTTCTTCTTTTTTATCCCTTTCCAAGATTTTATAATTGAGGTGTCAGAGAAGAATCTACAGCTTCTGGATGTTTCTATATTTCTATAGTTTATTCTGTATTTTATCATTTTATCATTCCTATATTTCTATAGAGGCTAACTTATTTGTTGACTGAGTGGATATATAAAAAGATCGTCCACAGGGCTGGGAAGGTGGCTCAGTGGTAGAGCGCTTGCCTTGCATGCCTGAGGCCCTGGGTTCAATTCCTCAGCACCACATAAGCAAAACAGAAAAAGCTGGAAGTGGCGCTGTGGCTCAAGTGGTAGAGCGCTAGCCTTGAGCTGAAGAGCTGAGGGACAGTGCCCAGGCCCAGAGTTCAGGCCCCACAACCGGACCGCCCCCCCTCCCCCCCAAAAAAGATCGTCCACATAAAAGATTACTAAAGAGCTATATAGTAACACACTATAAGTTTACAAATGAGGAACAGAACATTTTAGATTTCAGAAAATAACAGTCATCTAAATTATAACCTATTACCTATAAAACTGAATTTGCAGCAAACCAGTCTTAAAATATGGCTACCTAAGCAGGGCACAGTGCTGTGTGCTTATACTCTCAGCTACTTGGGAAGCTGAGGCAGGAAGACTGAAGGAGCCTAGGAATTCAAGTCAAGCCTGGGCTCTCTTTCCTATCCCACTTCCTGTTTGTTTGGTCTTACAAAATTCAATTATGTACAGAAAGAAAAGCCTTTTCCTTACCACAACTTTTTACTAAACCTTTTAGAAACAAAGAATCTATGTAGGGCTGGGAAGGTGGCTCAGTTGTAGAGTGCTTGCCTTGCATGCATGAGGCCCTGGGTTAGATTCCTCAGCACCACATAAGCAGAAAAAGCCAGAAGTGGTGCTGTGGCTTTAAAACAAGCAACATGGACATTTTTAAACTAGTCTCCTAAGACTGGTTCCTAGATCCCTTACAAATAGTAAAATATACAAATGCTGAAGTCACTTTCATGAGATAGTATAGTAGCACACAATCTGTGCAATTCCTCCCATATAAATGAAATCACCTCAAGATTACATATAAAGGCTAATATATTGTAAAGATGAATCACAAGTTATTCTGTTGTTTAAAAACAACAAAAAGCCCTCCATGCTTAGTACAAATTTAATTTTTACTTTTTTAATTTATCTAACCCATAATTGGCCAAATCTGATGTAAAATATAATGTAGGCTAAGGCTGGTGGCTCATGCCTGTAATCTTAGCTACTCAGGAAGTTGAAATGTGAGGATTGCTGTTCAATGTCAGCCCAACTACCTATCAAAAAGCAAGAACTGGAGTTGTTCAAACCCCCAGAACTGCACAAGTGCGAGCACGCGCACGCAAATGCACGCACGCACACACGCACGCACACACGCACACACGCACGCGCGCACGCACACACGCACGCGCACACACACACACACACACACACGCACGACTTGTATCTAAAATGATGCTTAGCAATTTAGAAGCTTTTTTTTTTTTAACCACAAAAGGAGATACTGGGATGATAAGCACAGATGTGACTACATTCTAAAAATTCATATTAAATGTATCTTAAATTCAAAATAAATAGGGCAGCAACAAAGAAACATACCTTGGATGATACAAAAGGCAGATTTCTCTTCATTTGTGTGTGTGTGTGCCTATCCTAGGGGTTGAGCTTTTATGCTCAAAACTAGTGTTCTAGTTCTACCACCTGAACCCCAGAGCTCCACTCGTGTAGGTTTTTTTTTTTGTCAGTTGTGGGGCTTGAACTCTAAGCCTCTTTGTGTTCAAGGTTAGAGCTCTACCACTTGAGCCACAGGGCTACTTCCAGTTTCTGAGTGTTAATTGGAGATAAGAGTATCTGGGTCACTTTCTGCCCTGACTGGCTTTGAACTATGATCCTTAGATCTCAGCCTCCCAGTAGCTAGGATTACAGGCATGAGCCACCAGCACCTGGCTGCAGATTTTTTTCTTTTTCCTGTCAGTTGTAGGGCTTGAACTTCTGGGCCTGGGAGCTGTCCTTCAGCTCTTCAGCTCAAGACTAGCATTCTACCACTTGAGCCACAGCATCACTTCCAGTTTTCTGGGGATTAAGAGGCATTAAGAGTCTCACAGACATTCCTGCCCTGGCCGGCTCTGAACCATGATCGATCCTCAGATCTCAACTTCCTGAGTAGCTAGGATTACAACAGGTGTGAGCCACCAGCAACCGGCTAAATTGTTACACTTTTTAAAACATTTTTTTAGGGGGCTGAGAAGGTGGCTCAGTGGTAGAGTACTTGCCTTGCATGCATGAGGCCCTGGGTTCTATTCCTCAGCACCACATAAGCAAAAAGAAAAAAAAGCCGGAAGTGGCGCTGTGGCTCAAGTGGTAGAGCGCTAGCCTTGAGCTGAAGAGCTGAGGGACAGTGCCCAGGCCCAGAGTTCAGGCCCCACAACCCGACCCCTCCCCCCCCCCAAATTTTTTTTAGCCAGGTGCTGGTGGCTCACGCCTGTAATCCTAGCTACTCAGGAGGCTGAGATCTGAGGATCTCGGTTCAAAGCCAGCCCCAGCAGTCCGCGAGACTCTTATCTCCAATAAGCCACTAGAAAACTGGAAGTGACACTGTGGCTCAAGCAGTAGAGCGATCACCTTGAGCTGAAGAGCACAGGGACAGCGGCGCCCAATCCGAGTTCAAGCCCCACGACCAACAAAAAAAAAAAAAAATAATTTTTTTTTGGTTAGTCATAAGGCTTGAACTCAGGGCCTGGGCACTGTCTCTGAGCTCTTTTGCTCAACTCGTGCTCTACCGCTTAGAGCCACAGCACCATTTTTGCAAATTTCTTTTTAAGACAAAATTTTTCCAAGAGTTAGGTCAGGAATTGTGATCAAAGATCTCTAAAGGAAACTTAGTCAAATGTAATCTTCAGTTAACAACACACACAGTATTAGTTTAGTATTGCTGTTCATCCTACATACAAGCACCTACCTAACATAACAGGAGCTGAAAACAGCTCTGCTGTCCTCTAATGTAATTAAACAAACAGGCCAGCATCTCAATGTAGCACTCTTCTTCTCAAAATAAAAAGTTTACATCTTAAATATCAATATCCCTCTCCTGAGTTTACAAAAATTGTCCCATGAAGCCACAAGTCCACATATAATCAAATAAAATGATCAGAATAGAAAATTACCACTAAACACACACCAAGGAATTGTGCCAGTGTGGTCCACCAAGGCCGTATTCAAATCAGTAGGTCAAAGTCCAAGGAAAAACAGGAGTCTCAAAGTCTCTAAGAACTTTATCAACTACTACAGGAGAAACAGTCATTTACAGTGAAGATACCTAAATAGAAACTACCTTAAACCAAGTGATCATCTGGTTGTCACCAACCAGATCAACATTAGATAACAGGTGATACACTGAAAAGGGCATAATTTTTGTGATTCTTGCCAAAACTTCATATACTCAATTGCATTTAATATCACCTGGGGTAGAATGTGGATCTAGTTATAGAATGACTGCCTAGAAACCTCACAGCCACAATTTCCAACCCCACACATTCAAAGTCATTAACCTAAAACTGAGAAACATTACACAAAGCTAACTATATGTATGAGTCCTCATCTTCAAAATTGTCAAGGAAGAGCTTGGTGCAAGTAGCTCATTCCTGTAATAATAGTTACTCAGGTGGCTGAGATCTGAGGATTATGGCTTACAAATTTTTAAGAACACAGCCCTGGGCAGGAAGTTTGAGAGACTCTTTATCTCCAATAAACTAACAAAAAGGCTGGAAGTGAAGTTTTGACTTAAATGATAAAGAGCTAGCTAGCCTTGAGCACAAAGCTCAGATATAGCACCCCCACCTCACAAAAAACAAAGGTCAAGGAAACTAATAAAACATGACAATTAATTGCAATGTGGGAAGGGCATTACTGAAGAATTGGTGAATTTGAACAAAGCCACTAAAGTGAGAATCTTCTGATTCCCAATTTCTTAGTTTTGATAAAGGTCCTATGATTAGGAAGATGTTAATTATGAAAAGCTGGATGGGGCTCAGGGCATCAGCCAACGAATAAAAATGTCAGAGAGCCAGTTTGAGTCCTGGTTTTAGATATAAAATAAAGTTAACAGCAAAAAAAGAAAAATTATTCCTAACAACTTAATTAATGTTACTGGGGAAAAAAAAGTTTCTATCAGGGGCTTGGGGACTAGCTCAAATGGTAAAAATGGTGTTCAACCTCCAATACCACAAAAAAAAAAGTTACTTTTTTTAGATGCTGACATCTAAAGCCATAATCAATGGCATAATCAATGGACCAACAGATCACTTAACCTGTCTGAAATGAAATTGTTAAATGGAAACACAGAATAAGCAATGTATTGCAAAGTGCAATAATTCACAAACGTAACAACTAAAGGTTAAAGGGAAAAGATAAAAACAGGCTTGGAAAAATCCTCTTTATAAAACAGAGGTTATATTCAAGGCACATAGAAAAGATATTCACCCAATGTAAAAAAGAATGAAAGTTTCACATTAACTCTTGGCTATCAAGAAAATCTATATGTTTAAAATAATTGAAGAGTTCAGAACTGAAAGCCAACACAAGTTTGCTTTTTTTTTTTTGGTCAGTCATGGGGCCCAAACTCTGGGCCTGCGCGCTGTCCCTCAGCCCTTCAGCTCAAGGCTAGCGCTCTACCACTTGAGCCACAGCGCCACTTTGGTTTTTTTTCTTTTTGTTTATGTGGTGCTGAGGAATTGAACCCAGGGCCTCAGGCATGCAAGGCAAACACTCTACCACTGAGCCACCTTCCCAGCCCTCATCACAACTTTAAAAACAAGGAAAGACAACTGTTAAGAATCACTATTTTCAGCTGGGCACAATGGTGCACAGTGGCATTTGCCTATTGTCTCAGGTATTTAGGAAGCCTAGGCAAGAGAATTGTGAGTTCAAGGCCAGCCTCCAACACTGTGAAACACATCTCAAAAAAAAAACTGTGATTTCAAATAGTAAAAGTAAATGTTACTTCCTCATATTTTATTTTTGCATTAAAATACAAGACAATACAGCCTAATATTATAGCTCATCTACAGTTAACCTTTGGATTTCTTAAAAAGGAATACAATGAAAGATTTCCAACTATTTTCAGTTGACTGTGCAACCATCTTGCTATCAAAGTCAAAATTTTAATTCTAATTACAAAAATCTTAATTTCTAATTACAATTTTTTCTGTATATTTCTATTACTCCTGTGAATGTTCTACAGTCAGAGTTGTATTTTGTATTTTTCATGCAGCAATTCAAAATATTTCACAGGTGACACATAAAATTTCACACTTAATTCAGGTGGACCTGTTGCAACAATGAGAAGTACAAAATGTCATGTCAAAAACGAGCTTTACAATGTCGGTGTGGGGCGGAGGGGGGGAAGGATTGGGAGGGGGGAGGCTGGGAAGGGAGGTGAAGTGTAAACAAAGGAGGAGGCTGCAATGCTTGGTAAGAAATGTATGCATTATCCTGCCCATGTAATTGTAACCCCTCTGTACAGTATGGTCTCAAATAAAATAAAATTAAATTAAAAAAAAAAATTTCACACTTACCAACACTTTGGGGCCGACTTATCCTTATAGCATTAATTTCAGCTTTTTGGACATGAGGTGGATATTCCTTCCTATAAAAGGAAATTTATAGTTTTACTCAAATAGGAAATATACTTTTCAAAATGTTATGTTAAGGGGATACTTAAAATACATGGATACATGGATTGAAAGTAATCTAGCTTCACTGTCATATAGAAAGTAACACTATAAAATATTAAAACTATGTTATGTAAATATACTAAGTAAAGCTAGAGGCACTGTAAAATCTCTAAAAAGTACTGACTATCTCACTTAAAATCAATCCCCCAGATGTCAATACAGGCAGATTGTTGAATAAGTATTTGATACATTGAAATTAGTGTCCTTTCAAAGTAATCAGTTCAATTAAATTTAATGATCTTTATTTTTAGAGATTCATGTCTCACTACAGCCTCAAACTCCTGAACTCAAGCAATCCTCTTGCCTCAGCTTCCCAACTAAGTGGAACTACAGACCCTAGATATATCTAGCTTTCAAAATAATCACTTTAGAAAGTGCTATATATCTCTCAAATGTACAAACCTGTACAATTTTTCTAAAACTCACCTTTAAGAAAAACATTAAAAGTCATACATTTTGGATAAGGAATTACACACTACAATATTGTTAAATTTGTCCAGTTTACTATAAATGTCTTTAGTTTTAGAAACAAATCAATTAAGAAACGTTAAGTAAAAACACTGATCTTGAGAACAATGACAAAAATCACTAAAACAAAATGCCATGTATAAAATTAGCAACTGTGGAACAAGTATTTTAGTTGTAATATGACATTATGAGAGGGAAATAAGTACACCTGCCTTAAATATTAACCTACTTTCACAGGTTTTTAAAATTTTTGACACAATTACTATACACCAAAGGTGGCCTTGAACTTGAGATCCTCCTACCTAAGCCTATCAGATGTTGGGATTCTATGCATGCATCACTAGATGCAGCCCAGCATACAACCAATTTAAATAATAATCCTTGTAATACGTGAAACAGAAATCCTGTAACTAGCTGTGGGACAGTATACAATAAAGTATATAATAAACTACAGGAGTTACCATACTTAACATACTTTCTGACTGTTAATAAGATCTACTAATACTAGACCTCTGTAATCAGGTGATTAAAAAGAGGCTACCCTATTATTTATAAATCAATTCACACTGGTGATCAATATTTTCAGGGCATATTCCTACATTGTGAAACTCAAAAGCACTTAAAATGAAAACAAAATATAACAATGACACAGCTGGGAATATAGGCCAAGTGGTAGAGCACCTGCCTTAAAAACACAAGACCGTAAGCTCAAACTCCAGTACCACCAAAAAATGAGAAAGAAAAAACAAAGAAACAAATAAAAGGCTATTAAGAGTGATGATCATGGTCTATCTGTAACAGCAGTTAGCAAACATTTGAGTTGATGTGCCAGGTACAGTTCCAAGTGCTTTGTATCTATTATCTATTTGTTCTTTTATTCCAAATGATGTTATAAAGTATTTGATGATGAGGCACAATAAAAACAATTAACTTGTCCATAGTAATAAAATTATTAAATGTCAATGCCAGAAACAGAATCCTGGCATACTGTACCAGTGTTGATGAGGTGAGCAACATCTGGTACAAGTGAGCAATTTCCACCCTGCCAAGATCTGAAGATTTACAAGGGTGCACGTTATAATGCTGAGAATGTGTCATGTTGTCATGGGAGTAATGATGCTCTAAAAAAGGAAACATGCTTTCAGTTTTTAACTATACTGTATTAGGACTAAAACAAAGTACATATTCTTATAGTCTTCCCATTGTCCACTGAAGAATTACATACATATAATGCAATACTTTTGTTTAAATCAAATAATTGCTTTACAAACCCTAATTTTTATAACTCTATATTCTGGAAAAAATGTCCAACTTTGTACACAGAAATTGAATCTGATATAAACAAAATATTACCAATGTGAACACAATATCAACTGTCTTGCACATTCTTAAAATGTGGACAACGAAACAAGGAAAGCAATTCTTTGACACAGAATGACACAAGGTCTGGAAATAAAAGATTTCTATTTTGTTATAGACCATGATAGACAATTTGCTCCATGAAAGTTAGAATGTGTTTGTGACTTTAACTAAGCATCACTATCCCACAATACTGTGAAATTTGGGAAATTATGTAACCACTTAATCACAATAAAAAATTTGGGGAAAAAAAAGATTTCTATTTTTATTTCAAACTTGCTAATTACTTACACTGGGGCAAGCCAAAAGCACTGGATTATTCAGTAAAAATAACTGATATAAATAATCTGAAATAGTAAATCATATTTGCATGCACAGTGATTAATTAAAATAAACTACAATGAACTATGTTATTTCCAGTTTGACACAGTACACTGAGCCATACATTGCTAATAAGGATCAACACAGTGAAAACATCACATGATATCCATAATCTTATCGTGTACTGAAATATTAATGTAATATCAATAATTATGTAACAATAGTATTAATAATTATGTAAATCTGTCCCTATTTTCAGGCTTTACAGCCAGTTTTCCTGTTCTTTCATAAAAATAGAAAAAAATTAAGTGTTGTTTTAAAACCATGAACCAATAAATGGGCAAGAAAAAATTAGTATACACATAAGCATTATTAAGTTATAAATAATGAAATTATATCACTTGCAAGAAAATAGGTAGAACTAGAGATTATGTTAAACAAAATAAGCCAGGCTAAGAAAGTCAAATATCGCATGTTCTAATTTGCACAATCTAGTCCTAAAAAAAACTGTCAAGAATGTGAAATAGATGGGTGGATGCAAGCAGGATGGGGAAGGGCAAAGAACAAGGTAAAGGTAGGAAAATATTGTCAAGGATTCTACATACATGAAGATAAAATAAAACCTAGTGAAATTCTTCCCGAAGGTGGGGAGGATAATGGAGAGTTGGAGGGGATGGGCTTAATTGGGATACACAGTAAGCACTTAGGGAAACATCAAATGGAATTCCTATGTACAACTAATACCTGCCATTAAAAAATTTAAAAAAGACACAACAAACAAAATACAGAAAGTATACCTTCACTTTAAAGCAAGAACATAGGACTTTTACTATAACTTGATGTATATGATTTATAAAAGAATTAACTTTCTAGTCATAAACTATCTTATCTCTAAAATATTGTTTTCTTTTGCTTTTGGAGACAAGAGCTAGCCATGACTATTTAATCCTTTGCCTCAGTTTCCCTTCAGTCAATACTACAGACAGATGTGTACAACAACACCTGGCCTAAAATACAGTTCTAAATTTAATTTTGTTAAATAATCTTTTCTAAAAGTGTATTTTTAAATATGAGCACAATTAGTGGCCCAATGGGATTCTGTTAACATTTCCACACATGTACACATATGTTCCCATTCCCTCTATCACTTTAATCTATGTTGGCATCTTAGTTTGATGATACTTTCATTTTTTTTTTCTTGTGCCAGTCCTGGGACTTGAACCCAGGATATGGACACCATCCCTGAGCTTTTTTGCTCAAGGCTAGTGCTCTACCACTTGAGCTACAGCTCTTCCAGCTTTTTGGTGATTGATTAAAGATCAGAAACTCATGGACTTTCCTACCTGGGCTGGCTTCCAACTGTGACACTCAGATATCAGCCTCCTGAGTAGGTAGGTTTACAGGCGTTAGCCACCAATACCTGGCAATCAATACATTCATTCTTACAAAAAGAAATCTAAAACTCCCAACTGGTATGAAGTTCAAACCTATGGTCTTACTTTTCAGTAGCAAATCAAGCAGAACCAGGCAAATTTTCTTCTCATCTCATCTCTCTTTGTAGGCAGGTAGAATTTGCTGCTTCTTAGTGTTTGTTTTGTTAGATCTTTTAGAAGCCCCACTTTATGAACCTAAGATTTTATAAGATGCATAAAATTTATTGCAAAATCTCTATCCATAATTTTCTTCCCCACTGATGGGATTTGGATTTAGGATGTTATGCTTCCCAGATAGCACTTGAATCACACACCCAGACCCAGAATTGTTAAAATAATATCAAAGGGCCTCTTTGTTCAAGGTTTACTAAGGTTCAAGGTTTAATAAGTTTTCCTAGTAAACTTAATTTTGAAGTAATTTTAAGTTTGCAAAACAGTTGTGAAGACACTTAGTAATTCCCTCGCGTTCCTTGTCCTAATGTTAATACCTGAATACGTAGCAGCCTAGATTAGGACACCATGTAATCACAGCTACTCTGAAAGCTGAGATCTGAAGACTGTTGTTTGAAGCCAGCCTGGAGCGGGAATGCCCAGGAGACTCTTAACTCCAATTTAACATCCAAAGAAGCTGAAAGTGGATGCGTGACTCAAATGGTGGAGTGCCAGGTTGTGCCAAAAAAAAAAAAATCTCACAGATAGCAGCTAGGTCCTACTCCAGTACCGGCACCAAATCACAAAACAAAAGACATATAGTAAAACACACACATACATATATACATACGTATGTATATATACATACATATAAATCAAGGGCTGAGGGCTTGATTCAAGTGGGAAAGTACACTTTGTATATATACATACATATATGTATATGCGTGTGTGTGTATATATATATATATATATATATACACACACACATATAAGTCAAGGGCTGAGGGCTTGATTCAAGTGGGAAAGTACACTTTGTGTATATACATGCATATATGTATATGCATGTATATATATATGTATATATATATACACACACACATATAAATCAAGGGTGAGGGCTTGATTCAAGTGGGAAAGTACCTGTGTGCCAAGGGCAAGACCCTAGGCTCTACCTCCAGTATTGCCACAAAAACAAAACCTAAGAATAATTATTGGAACAGTTATTCCTAGTGAAACTTTCAACATTATTTGGATTGTCTCAGCTATTCCAATAGTACCTGTTTTGTCTTCCAGGATCTAATTCAGGGCACCTGTATTCATTAGGTGACCACGTTTGTTCTCTTCCCCAGTCTGTTTTCTCAGGATTAGATTGACGTTGTACGTCTGGGGTAAAACTCCAG